ACCTAAATCATTCCAATATTTATTTCATGATTTTTGTTTTCTTTTTTTCCCATCAACTTGCCCACAGTTTTATACATTAGCTAAGGGCACAAAAATACAATGCGTAATAAACTAAGCTTTAGTTTTGTTGCTTCCAGTAAAAAACGCTTCAACCAGCTTAAAAAAAGTGGTCCCTCACAAAGTCCATTTGTCCCCACATATCAGCGACCAATCCTCAAAAGCGAACCCTCAAGTCTGGCTTAAAAAGGTTTAAAGCTTTCCAAGTTAAACCAATTGTTAAAACCTTACGAAGCAACTGTTTCTTCCCTCGTCCCTCCTCTTGTGTGAAGAGCAACAGCTGATTTATGAGAAAAAAAATCCTTTGGTCAACACAAGTTGGGGGTAATATTGTTTAATCACAATTCTGTCCCGTCCCCCAAAAATCACCCCAGTTTCCTGCCAAGAAAGGGAAGTGTTGAAATTATCTCGAACTATGTTTGGTTGGATGCTGTCCACCTACCTTGGGGACCAACATCTCCAAGGGCCTCAAGAGGAAGTTTCTTTATCGCAAGGTTGGTTGGTTGGGGCCAGAAATTCCCAGTTGTTTCTGCAAGAAAGTGCCCCAGCTTTTTTTGGGGGAAACTCTGATGAAGCCTCCCTCTAAGTGCCCGCCCTGAAAACCACCAGTCCGCCCCCAACAATGCAGCGTAACAACCACACCCCAACAGAACGAAGAATGGCTTGAAACCATTTTCTACCACCTCAATGACTTGTAAGTGCCGGGTTCGAAGACAACTCCGGTCATCGATAATACGTCTGGGGTGCGGTTTCAAGCATTACCGATTGGCGGGAAGAAACAGAAAAGGCGAGGGTTTTGGAGGTTGTGGGCCCAGCCCCCTCCGTCCAAGAAAGGTTCCCCAAAGGGGTTGCTGCCAATTGAAAAGGATTGGGAAAAGTTGATTAACATGTGGGGAATCAACTCTTCTTTTGCCATCGTTACCAAGGGAGTCCCACCCTGGGTAAATCATACCTCCATGTCAGTGGGGGGTTCTGTAAAAACCCAATCTGCGCCACCTGAGGCACCTTAAGAAAATTCTGAAAATTCTTATCCTTATCTATATATTAGAAATTTATTAGGATTAGTAGAACACAAAATCGTGGAAATAGGTGATTGTAGATTGTAGACTGTTTTCTGATAATGTCAGAAAACAGTGAAAAACAACAAAATCCAACCAACAGCCCAAAACGTCTTATTAGATATGATAAGATAAGATATACCTTTATTAATCCCCCGTAGGAGAAATTCAAATTACACACAGCAGCATTGTGTAATATAGTGCAATAAAAAGAGTACAGTATACATACAATGGGCATGAGCTAAAGCCACAGTCTACCCGAAAGGTTGAAATAAATCTAAAAATGTGTGACTGTAACTGTGAAGTTATGTGGATCAAACATGCAAAAAGAGCAGTGTGGTTAGTTAAGTTCTCCCCAGCCGATGAGAATAACGATTGGTAACACTGACCGTGGGTTCTCATGTGGTCTCTCAGCAGCCTCTCTGTTGCAAAACGTTTGGAACAGTGAGAACACTGGAACCGCTGACCTACAGCACACATACAAACAAGCACACAAAGAAATGACTACTAGATGACACAATTTGAAGCTAAAACAGTTAGCAAACATTGTTGTTGATCTTTCCTGTAATAATTCGAACCGGTTTTTACCTTCCATGGCGCTCTGTCGTATGATGTGGTCAAAGAACTTGGTGTTGTTGGCGTACATCGCCCCACAGCCTGGACATGCCACCACTTTCTCCTGGGTGTGGCTGCGCAGGTGCTCCCGCAACTTAGGACGTCCTTTTGCAGTGGCTTCGCAATCTGCAGAGTGACAACAATCCTCCATTATTAGTGTCGAGTAGAAAATATACTCAGCATTTTTATATAAATCTGTTGTGTAATCTCTAGCTGCGTTGATATTTCTGAGCTATAATCTCGAGATAAATCATGTTAAACCTACCTTTCCATCCACAGCGTACTGGGAATTCACAGTCTCCTGCTGGTATATCCATGCACATGCTATGCATCTCCACATGGCGATAGAACCACTCTGGGTTTTCATACGGAGATTGCTTTAACAGATATATATAGAAAGCAGAAATACACAGTCAGAATTATTTAAAGTTCAAGAAGACATGATTTAAATTCTTATTCAAATGTATCTTAACTGTGTGCACGCAGAGGCCCCGTTTAAGTAACTGTTCACCAACTGCTTAGCTTGTAAAATCAAACTGTTCGTCATCATCAAGTTAATTTATGACTACTAACGGACAACATGTTGTCATTTGTTTCACAGATGTAGACTGTTACAGAGGGACAAAGAGATGTCGTTACTTTAAATGCATCGTGGATTGGCATTAGTTGAAGCATACAAAGTAAACACCACACCTTGTATATTCAACTGATGCCCGCATGTAGAGTACATGTTTATTAACCAAGTAATCTTGCCCTGCTCCTTCAGCAGCACGGGCCTCAGCCAATCTCACCTCACATTCGTCCCAAAGGCAGAGAAAATTGTCTGGGATTTCAGGGATGTTGTTGCGGTTGTGGTAACCGATGGAGCAGGTGCCGATTTCTGGCTGGGCGTTGAGCACCTGCTGACCCAGCTGCTTCAGCTTGGTATGGTAACAGTGAAAGAACAGGTGCCTTCGCAGCTCCTCAGGACCCTCCACAGAACAGAAACCACAGTCTCTCCAAAGACAGTTTCTCTCTGCTAGGCACAAAAAGCAGAGTTTGTATTAGTAGGTGTCACTCTTTTGTGGTAATATTTGTTGTTTACTGTCTATTGTTTAAGAGCACTGCAGCTCATTAGATATCACATTAAGCAAGATGCACATCAGTTTAACACTTAGTATCTTGTGTCAATACCTCACTACTCCCAATATATAACACTAAACACTGACCTTCTGCTTCTGCGTCCTCGTCCTCCTCCGCCATGTCCACAGCAGTAAGGTGACCCTCCGCATGCTTACAGAAGTTCTCCATCCGACTGAAGGACTCCTGACACGAACTCCACTCACACTCCAGTTTAAGTGTTTTCTTGTGGATCCGTTTGTTCGGAGGCATCTCTCAAGTGTGCCGCGTTTGAAACAGACTCAAACTACAAACGTCGCCCAAGGTTTAGACCATCACCTGTGGCACGTCCAGGGTGGCTCGCTAACACCGGGTGCTGGTCGGTAACCGGGTCCAGTCTCTGAGCTGTAAGACCTTCAGCAGCTCCACGAACCTCCTCCTGCACCACGGCGACTACACGGAACACCGTCAAAGAGCGTCAAAATGTGACTACAGGAGCTTCAGCACAATGACAGAGAGCACTGACATCATGTAAACAGGAACGGGGCTGTGTGCAGCGCAACCGTCTCCTCAGGAACAACGCATATCTCAATAGTTCCGGGTGTCATTTGTTCCGGCAGGTACTTTTCCTTGGAGAGTATTTTATGCTACTGTAAATATGGTACACTTTACTCCACTACATTTATTTGGCAGTTTATAGATTTGCATTCATCCGTTTATGCAGTTGCAGATTAAAAACACCCAACACTATACTGTATTTAGTAGCAGAGCTCAGTTGATACTGGATTTAAAAGGCGGATTCTGATATCTGAGCATTTAAAAAATAAAGATAACATATCAATAAAATAACAGCCAATATTCCTTCCTTTTCTTAAAAACATAAAACTTTTTTAAAGATCCTCATTGAGATTTAGTTTGCTTGTTATTATTACATATTATATTTTTGGCATTTCTGCACCACAATTTCTTATTTGTTCACCTTTGTATTACGCATTATAAGATTATCATTGAATACTCCTGTACTAACAATTAAGATTGTGAATGCAAGACCTCAAGACTTCGCAGTCAAGTATTTATACATTGTTGTATTACTGCGTCTAATTAAGAAACTGAACACCAATTAAAGCACTGCAAATGATAGCAATGGCAGAATATCATATTTTAATTTTATTTCTCAATTTGAGCCTTCCATCTCAACAGTAAACAGTTTCTCAGTTGTAGTTACATTCCTTAACAAAATAATCCAGTGCGAGTCGAATTCACATCGTCACGTCTGAACCCTTAGAGAGGGGGGGAATGCACATCAGTCATAAAAATACAGCTATGTATCCAATAATACCAAGAAAGGTATAAACAATTGATTATAAGCCCTTCACCTTTCATAGACCTTAATTAACTTTTACAACAACCCAGACACTCATTTAATCTCTTCTAACACCCCCCTCTATTTACTCTTCTTCAGACTGATTACAGCCTCATTAGCTTTTTACTGCTTTTCTTCAATCACCATTCTGTGTGCGTTTGTAAGTAAAAAAACAAACAAAAAAAGATACTAACTGTCCCACCCATGTTGCATGGATTGATATTTATGAGTGTGGATGAAGTGTGAGTGGGTACATTTTTGCTTCAACGGCAGATTCAAGCGATGGGCCGCTGTTTGAGTAACTATATATATATTTAGGGCACTTCTACATCCATAAATCCTGATATCTAATGGTAACAATTCAGTAGCAGTCAACCATTGATGTTGGCCAACTTGAAGACCAAAAGTCATCCCCGCTTACTGTTCTTTCCTCTAAAAAAAAAAAAAAACAAGTATAAAAATATACTTTCAGGCTGGACACACAAGATAATTAAGACCCAGTCACACTTTCCTGCTTGTAATTACTGAGACCAGGAGAATAAGCAACACTACTGCTGTTGATCCATAGCTGTGAAAATGTTCTACCAAGGTGAAACATAGCTTTAAACCTTGCACTGGGTCTTTACTGCAGGTCGAATCTGAGGCAGAAAAGTAACAGTGAGGTAATGGACTCTATTAAAAGGCAGATGAACAATGAGCCCATAAAATAGTTCCATAACAATATTATCATATCATATTTTCTCAGTCAGTCTCTCCTCTTTCCTGGAGAACTGTCTAGACATCGTAGAAGAGACGCACCAGATGATAACGTATCCCAAAAGCCACCACACTGCCCATCACCTGAGAGATAGACACAAAAAAGAGCATTCAGTGAAAGATTCATATATTTCTAACATTATTCCAGGGTGTTTGGATACTGCAGGTGCTTTATTTATACCTGTATGATGAGCATGATGACTGTGAGGTTTCTCTCATGGGTGGGACCGAGTAATTTCAGTACCAGGTTTATTAAGGTCATGTTGTTGCACTCAATAAAATCATCATCTCCCTCCTGGCCTCTTCGCACTTCTAGCAGCTTCAATAACTCTGCCACCTGTTGAGGATTAAAACGTATTAGTGTTATCAACCAATAAACACAATTGGAAGCCTGCCACTGTTCTCCTCCAATCCTCACTACATGCACTTTATTATTAGGTAACCCGGAAAGAGACTCTGAATCGCTGCCTACATGTCCAGTTTCTCTATCCGATTCAAATAGTGATATAATGAAGTGACAAACAAGGGATATTCTGTCTGATTATCTGGCTAATTAATAGGGGAATTCAGGTGAGAGGCTCGTCTGTGATACTAACAAGTCTGCCAGTGTTGTCACTTTTACTGCATCTGCACCATCAGGCATGTTTCCATCTACTGAGGGTCCTCTTGCATGCCAATGTGAGGATTTGACGCTTTTGACTGTTTTATATCATTTTTGTGTCAGACATAGTAACATTACATTAACATTTTCTGATTTATTTATTGTTTAATTTCATTTTCAATAGAATTTGTTTGTTCACCAGGGCCCGCCATAAGGTATCTGAGCATTGTGGGCAGAGTGACACTTTGCACAGGGAGTCAGTCTATTAAGGGAACTTGGGATCTTATACTGACCATTTTGCATACAATAGAGTAAAATAGGTGTTGCTTTTGGGTCGTTACCCACCATTAAGTTTCAGTTGTGTGAACCCTGGGTTAAGTGGTCAGTTAAAAAAACAGAATACAAGTGCAAGAGCTTTACCGTCAGAATGAGGTGTCCTAATTTAGAGAGGTCCTTTCTTTTGAATTTAGAGTAGCTCATCCCCAGTTTACCCGTGTCTGGATTCAGCCTTTCATTAGCAGTGGCATTGGGAGAGAGACAAAGGGAAGAAAGACAGAGCACATAAATGATAATGAATGAAACCATATCACAAACTCAATTTAAGACAGTGAGCAGCAGGTTACCTGGGGAGCCGGTGTCTGGGACAGGGGATAATATGAAAAAGCTGAGGCAGGGAGTAGACAAAGTTAACCACTTGAGGAATGAAGAACAGCAACATTGTTTTGCTGAAGTGCCCCAGGATACCGACTACAGCAAAGGTCATCCCAGCAAAGTAGCAGAAAGTGTCTCCCACAAACACAGATGAGGGGTACCTGTGACAAAACAGGTGGTAAGTTAACAGAATACAGGCGCAACGACATCATCATGTGTCAGGTAATAGGTTTAACTTACCAGTTGTGGTAAAAAAGTGCTAATGTGGTGAAGAAGAATGGTAACATGAAGTAGAGGGAGAAAACATGGTCATCACGGTAGTCACCTGATTAGATAACAGAACAGACCAAATGTCAGATGAAACATGTTCAGCACTTTGAGGATTATTTTTGTACAACAGGAAACAGGAACACTGTAAAATGTCTACATTTATAAATCACAATCACATTCAGTCTGATTTCTCAACTATTTTCAGGCATTTCCGAGTCAAATAAACTCATCCATGTCCGATACACTTATGAGAAACAAACCACACACCACTGAGCTCCAGCAAGTTGAAGACGATGATGGAGCCGGAGATAAACAGGGCTTGACCTGACTCGATGCCATTGATGCCCGCTAGGATGTTGATGGCGTTTGTGCAGAATACCGCAAGCATCCCCATGTAGACGTAGTAGAGAATACCTGCAGAAGATCACACATCAATTAATTAACATTTACTACATCATATCACGTGTTTAAGTTTCTTGAAAACTACTTTATGTACTCAAGGAAGATTAATATTTCAGCAGCACAAATCCTCAGTGGCTCCCAGATGAAAATATATATCCTATCTGGTAGGTATCAAGCTGGAGGATGTGAAGGACGTCTGGGATACGCCTGCTGCTACAGAGACGATGCCCCCAAACCACCCCACCACTCACCCAGATCCAAGTGCAGCCCAAGCAGGGCTCTGAAGGGCTTGGGCACCACGATGACCGTGTTGCCGAAGTTGGTAAAATAGACCATGAGCAGCGGCAGGGAAGCCATGGTGGGAAGCAAGAGCTTGTGTCTCCACCGCAGGTTCAGCACATCGTCAGCGAAGCCCAGGAAGATCATGCAGCAGATGGCCAGAAGTGCACCGATCAGCTGTACAAACTGAGCAAACAAAAACAACAGCACAGAGAGTCAGGCTGCACATCTGAGAGAAACACACACACACACACACACGTTTGCTGCACGTCAATGGACCCACCTCATCATGTGGGAAGCCCATGCACTGATCTCCTACGAAGCAGCTGAGGAAAGGCACTGGTATGAAGCAGAAGAGGATGATGAGGAAGACCGTCCCACTGATGACTCCTTGGGACTCTGGGCTGCAAAGAGAGAGGCGACCAGGAAGAAGAATGAAAGCGAGGATTAGGACAAGAAAACAGCACATCTGACTTCCAACCTGGACATAAGTCAGCTGACACACTATCAAACCCCAGGAGGGAGACGAAAATGACTCACACTTCCTTTTTGGTTGTTTTGTTTAGGTCCATTCCGTATAACCTGGCTGAGATGAAGTGGTCTTTGAACGCAGGGATGAGTTTCAGTGTGGCCAGGCAGCCCAGCGCAGACATGAAGCCGTTGATCACCAGCGGAAGGACGGGGACTGGTGACATGGTTTTAGACATTTTCTTGTTGTTGTTGGCGGGTCTGTGTGTGACAGATCAAATCACGTTTCTAGCTAATCTGACGTTGTTGTCCCCTCCACCTTTCAGGCGATCGATGAACGAGCTTTGGTTGTCTTCACCGAGGTAAAAACATGTCATATCGTCATTTTTAGAACAAACTCCATCTCCGTGATGGCGGTGACAACGAAGAGTGGGTCCACAGGTCGCAATGGTAGTCCATGTCGCCTTTCATTACGGGTTGTCGGTGCTATTATCTGTCCACTGCCCGGTTGTCTAAACTCCACGTCTGATATCAGTGTAACCGTAAAGTGCACAGCGGCACAAGGAGGTGCTACTTCCTGCCATGCTCTTCAAAATAAAATGTTACGTCTGGTAACGTTTGTTTTTGTTAGCAGGAAACTGTGGTTGCATTTCAAAATCTCTGGTGAAAGCGTTTTATTTGTTGTCTTTCTTTTCTTTCTTCTTTTTTTTTAAAACAAAAACAAAACACAATGTCACTTTCATTGCTGTGTGTTATTTTCTGCACACGGTTGTTGTTCACTTGACACACCAGTAAACAAACCTGCAGCCTGCCAATGCGGTGTTGACACGGAAGTGACATCTTCTTCTTTGGTTGACATGTCAGTGGTATAATGGACTTCTGCCATCTGTTGTCAAAACAACAGATCTTTCTTTCTTTCTTTCTTTCTTTCTTTCTTTCTTTTCAGAAAAGTGGCTCAATAGTTTATCTTATCTTACATTTGACATTACACCAACCACCACTGTGGCAGGGAGAAATGATGGTGGGTACATTACAGAATATAAATAAACAACAACAACTATAATTGTACAAAAAGTGGCCCATCACCTGGAGTAATAATACCATCATCATATATTAAATATTATATTCATGGTTTATTCTTACTGATGCATTCATGTGTAGATATCATATTGCTGATGTAGCTGGTTGAAGTGGAGCTACTTGAAACAATAAACAGCTGAAGAGTCCATAACAATAGGCCAGTCATCTGTTTTCTATGTAATATATTGCAAACTAAGTATAGTTGCTATTGTAATAGTAGTCAGGTTAATGTTTTGCCTCTCAAATGTAGTAAAGTAAAGTAAAAATGTTTCAAAATTACCATTTTTAGTTGTATTCCATCCCTGGTACTGATTGGCATGGCTGGAGTAATTTTTTATTATTTGACTTTAGTATTACCATGAAGTACAGAGCACACAGCATACTATAGATAGCAGCTTCATCGTATTTTACCCAGATACCATCCAGTATACTCTTATTCTATAATAATGCCACTTGGCCCCTTTTTCTGGGTTGAAATGTGTGATTAAACACAGTTTTATTAAGCATTAAACTCACATATACATCACCATATAAACAAAAAGCTCAATTTAAGGATCCCTCCACAAGAACCCAGTTGATGTTGTCCTTAAGTAGTGGAAATTAACAAACAAATTAGTATTTCTTATAAAATCAGACTTAAGTTCATTGCCAAGTAGGTTTTCATATACAAGATAATACAATGTATTTTATTTGGTACATAAACATATAAACAAAATATATTTCTTTGTAAAATGAAAAGAGCTGTACAGTGTTTAAAGTATATTCACAATATAAAGTATAAATAAACGTGTAATGTGCAGAGATAATCCCAGTAACAAAGTGCAAAAATTATGATTTACGTTTCCTGCTTTTACTTTGAAGGCTTCCACATTTCCCTTCCTGTTTGCCGCGGCGCTCCTCCCCTGCAGCGCCACCTGTGGGCCACTACCGTTGTTTGTCTCATTGTAGAGAGGTTACAGAGGCAGCAGGGTACTCTCGGCGGAGATTGGGACCCGCTGGAGTCTGTAGCGCCCTGACACAGAGCATCAGCGTATTATCGATATCGATCAGATGGCCGCGGACAGACAGACGGACAGACACCAGCCCACACGCCGCTGATGACTCGGACACGGGACGGACACATTTGTGGTCCATGTTACCGATGCCTTGCTTTCGATTACCTGCAGCCTGCAGCTCGGTCCGGTTAAGTTAAACGGTAGGTTGTTGTCGAGCAATTCTTTTTTTTTTTTTTTCTCAGTTTACTCCGTTAATCTGCGCTGCAGCGTCCTCTTTACCAATGCATGATCCACATAAAGGTAACGCAGCGTTTAATGCATGGTCTTCTGATTCACACACACACACACACACACACACGTTTGAATGTGATTTAAAACATGCAAATGAAAGTCAATGCGCTCCTAGCCACCATCTCTGTGTCTCCTCTGTGTATTCATCAGTTATAACTTGTATCTAAGTATCTCTTGGGTCAAGATGACTGTCACTGACTGCTGCCTCTCACAGGCTGAAGAGACCTGATCTGCTCCTGACTGACTAGTCCCGATATTTCCATCCGGACCTGGTTGATATGAGAGGCTCCGGGAGGCGGTGATGGAGCTCCAGGAGTTGGGCTGGTTGTGTCTGGTGGGTCTCTTCCTCGCCTCCTTGCTCATCGTGTTGGGATGGCTGCTCCAGTACTTGCTGAGCCTGCTGCGGCTGCGGAGAGCCAGGAAGACAGCGGGGCAGGACCGGAGAGACACAGCCCGGCAGCAGCTCTCCCTCACACAGCTCCACCAGAGCCAGGCAGGAGGGGTGTGGGGCTTCCTGCTGAAGCTCCGCTCGGGCCGGGATAGAGGACCTGCATCCGAGGCCGGGGTTAAAGGCTTGTTGACCTCTCTCTTCTCCTTCAGGTCCTTCAGGGAGCACTGGCAGAGGACCTGGGTCAAAGCTCTGAACGAGCAAGCCTGCAGGCATGGGGTAAGCTGTTCATTTGAGACCTTGAAGGCACAAATCATATTGCAGAGGAGAGCTGAATAAACACACTGGCAGTGTGTAGAAGAGCACGCCTAAGGTTACTCCACCAAGCAGAGGCATGAATAGTTAAGCAAGGGCTGATACAGTTGGTGTGTCCATGTGCGCTAGAAGTGAGTGTGTAGGCAGGGAGGTGGAGGTGTGGGAGTTGGAGTGTCTAATCGGTAAGAGGATGGAGGGGTAGAGCCTTGCGTAACAGCTCTGAATCAATGCACATAAGAGCGGAGAGGCAAAACCAGTCAGCGCAGCCACAGTATGAACACCCACACCTCATAAAAATAGTCTGGTACCCCAGCCTGTGAGGGGAAATGATCACAGTGGGAAGAGAACAGAGGGATGGTTGTGTTGCAGCTCATAACCTAAAGCAAAGGTAATCAAGTTGTGCTCATTTATAAATATTGTTACACACATACTAAGATTGGGTTCAGTGTGGTCAGTACTCCTGATAGTCTGTGTTTAGAGGCTTATCATAAGTCCCCAAAGGTCTTCCGCCTTTTTATATAGTTCCTTTGATCTGTGTAAATCAAAGTCTGCCACACAGTCGGATGTTTCCTATGAGCACTGGAAGGGGAGATGGATCCTCTACCCCCCGCATAGAAATTGTTTGTGTGTGTTGAATGAGAGATGAGTTGGCGGGGAGTTTAAAGGGGTCAGATCAATCCACAGAGTGAATGTGTACAACAAACAGCCCTCCGTTCTGATTCATAAAGGGTCACCCCACCATGGATGATTGAAAGCCTCCTCATAGATGTTCAAGTTAACACTTTATACAACACTCATTCAGGGAAGTGTTTAAAACAAATCTGTAACTTTTTATTAGATAATCTGCTAACAAATAGACAACTAAAATATGACGCATTAGAATACTAGTTGTCATTTATCAATAATCAGTGTTATTGTGATAATATATCATCATGTGAAATCATAATTAAAAGGTTTTGTCTGAAAATCTCAAAGGAATACTTTTTACATTTTTAGATCTGATTTTTTAACCTTTTGACCGAGCCAGGCTAGCTGTTTCCCCCTGTTTCCAGTATTTATGCTAAGCTAAGCTAACTGCCTATTGGCTGTAGCTTCATATTTAGTGTGTTAAAGTGTTAAACCACTCATTTAAAGTCTAACAGTGTTCATTAAATTTGAACATGACACTGCCCATGAGAAGGATACAAGAAGTCACTCAGAATCACAACATTACTATGATGTATAAACTCTAATATGCTGTATATACAGTACAGACTGCTATAGTTAAAAAGAGCACAAACTGGGGTTAGAGGAGCTCCCAAAGCTTTGAAGACTGTGTTTGTTTCATGCTCCTGTTTCTTCACGTGAGTCCTTCATCGTCTAAGGTTCTGTACGTATTTTCTCTGCATGCCACATATGTTTTGGTATGCAGCATTAAGCCAGCCGAGCTTAAATCTGTTTTCATCAAAGTGTTTTTTTTCTTTTTTTGCTGATAATAAGAGGGCAGAGTTTAGCTGCTGCTCTTTGATATATGGTGGTAAATTGGAGTGTGCCAGCTTAGTTATCTTACAGTGGCCTAATTAGTTGATCCATTGTAACCTTCGTTGCTCTCAGTTACCAAGAAACTCCACAACATTGGAGTGAACCTTGGGTGAACTTTGTAGTGTTAAGTGAGAGTTATTTTAATGGAGTTTCCGGGCGATAACCCCACTTATTTGTCTTAAACTTTAGTGAAAAATAAATCACAATACAACCTCTCTGTAGTTTGAATAGTCCTTTGTCACTACTAAACACATGGGGCAGGGTTAGAAATTAGACAGGCTGCTTTTGAGGGGTTGTTTCTTAAAAATTAGGTTGCTATGGGTATTTTTTACATGCAAGAACCTCATTGTTCTCAGTGGGTTTGATCTATGATGACTGCATGACCTTTAGGCTTATGAAATACTTTAAAAAACCCAGTAGACAGGCTTTTACCCGACAGTGATAAGGTATACGATGTTTATTGTAAGATAATTCTCCAGACTGGGTAAATGCGTCAGTGGTGGCGGAGACGGAGACAAGCTGTCCGTGTCCATGTGGTGTTTACTTTGTGAACTGAGACTGCGAGCCAAAGCTTCCCGAGCTCACTCATCACAATAAAATATCTGCTAGTCATTGTGTCTGCGTGCAGAGCGATCTGTTATTCTAAATGCGTCTGGGGTGTATGCAAATCACTTCTGAGTTTGTTAATGAAACTTTGAACGTGACACTGAGATAACAAATCACAAACATCAAGCTCAAGGACTCAAACTAAGAGTGGAGGCACTGTTTTAAACTTAAAGGTCACACATGTTTGGTCTCCACAGTGTCTCTTTAATATCAGACAGATGATTCAAATGTTTGTTGATCCATAAGTGTTTATTATTAAGTTATAATAGCCAGTTATCTCTGTTCTTTTGTCTGCACTGTTTAGGCCTTATATGCTCGTCCCTCCATAAAAACCTGACTGGAAAAACCTGCCGTGGGGGTTTGTGGCAAGTATTAAGTGGCCACAAGCGAGTCCAGTCGCATTCTTTGCCTCTCACTTACAGTAAGCACCTACCACCTGCCAGGCACGTTGCTGTGACCACTCCGGAAACAGACACGAGAGCAACCATCCAAACGATGGTCACAAAGACTCACATTCTCCTCCAACCTGCATTTCATTAATTGTGTTTCTACATCAGGCAAAACATGAGCTTCCCCGGAGGAACACAGCGCGATGGAGATACGGCTTCAGTGTCATCATGTGGGGATTAGCACGGAAATCCTTTATAGCATTAACCTAAGTACTTCTGCCGCATATAAGATTGATGCTGACAGAGGTCTTTAAATAATTATGTTGAAATTTATCCAAATAAAGGCAAGTTGAATAAGCCTCTGTGGAAAGTTGGAGCAATAGACACAATTCAGCAAAACCCCTTTTCTCTGCAGGCCCCGTTATGTTTGGTCAAGCATTAGAGTAGCTTTTTATTGTTATGAGTTTTTAAAATTAATTATTTTTCTTCAGCTTTTACACCTCAAGACCCAAAATAATAAAGACTTGAATCACTGTAGCAGAAACATTTTACTACTAAACTGTCCACCGTACATGACAATTGGTATAAATATCCATCTACATTAAAACAACACCATAAATATGAAGAGAGTTATATAATAAGAGAGTGTGCTAACTAACAGGAGCCAATAGCCAGTTAGCATATTTTAGCCTAAAGAATGGAAGTGGGGGAAACTGTACAAAGATAATAAAAAACTGCCTACCATCACTTCTAAAGCTCACCAATTAACACATGTTATATCTCGTTTGTTTAATCCGTACAAAAACAATGTGCAAAAACCTTAAACTGTGGTTTTATGGGGGGATTATGCGACAGATTATTTTTTGGCTGGGGGCATCCTGGTGTCATGTCGTCACTGGGAGGTTGCCAGGCAACCAGGGGAGACACAAGAGTGGCACTGATGTTTTTATATAACCAGTAGTTTAATGTAATAAGTATTATTACTTAGTAGTTAAGTATTTTTTGGGATTATCTGTAATTTACTTGAATTTCTGGTTAATCTTGGTTAATCACGTTATTGTGGTAAATTGTATGCTCGAAACTACTTCTGGATTACATTTTCAAGTTGGGAAAAAAGTTAGGAAGACATAATTTCTCTTCAGGTGTAATGTGTGCTCCATTTTTAGGTGGTGTACATGCTTAAAGAATAAATATAATTCTGAAAATTCTGACTGCTTTTTAATTAACAGCATTTACTTGCACTTATACTTTTAATACTTGACTATTTTTAATATCTGAAAATTATTTTTGATACTTAAGTACAGTAAATATCAGATACTTAAAGACTTTTGCGGAAGTAATATTCTAATAAGTAACTTCTACCAAAGTTATTTTCTGGTGTTCTTTAACTCAAGTGTGACTTTGAGGTACTTCATCCACCACTGCATCTAAATCTCCCCGAAATATTAAATAATACCTTTTAATTGAGAAAATAATTGCCAGATGAATCGATAATGATAATTATCTTTAGTTAAGCTTACGTAGTTTGTTTCCTATTATTATTAGTTATAAATCCGGTCATCAATAAACAATAAATGAATATTATGCCATTTTAAATTGGTAATGGAGATCAGTAAATAAATCTGAAAGTCCCTCCAGTTCAGGTTCAACTATTAGACAGACGTTTCACACGTGGAACAGGCAACATTTACAGATTCAGTTCTGCAGCTAAGCTGTTCATCAGTGTGTTCAATGGGTGGTCTATAAGACCATATACTATGAGGATATAGAGACTATACCATACCATTTATACCATCATAGTTATGTATTTCATATTTCTGAAAGTATAAGGCCATTGTAGGAAAAGTTGTAAATCAATGAGCAGGACAGTTTAATGGTCATATTAGATTTTTTATCTCATTTGTGCATTAATCCTGTCAATCACATCAATTCCTTAATAGATTTTTCAGTTCATTATTATTAAAATTATTCCATATGATATCATGATATGTCACGATATTGTGATATAAAATTACATATTCTGTGACAGAGAATTTAATTTCACCCACCTCTTATATGTGCTCTTATATAACATGAACATTGTCAGTAGAGTAGTATGAAGGAATTACAAGTTTTTGGCCTCCATTGCTTTCCATAGTTAAGTCAGTGCTCGTGTAAGACTTCTGACATCTGGCTCAAAGACTAGGCAGTGTAAATGATAGAATACTGAAAGTGTTCTTCCTGGCTCTTATTTCATTTAGTCAGCATTATTTGTAGCATCACACCCACACCAACACACATCCTTCTGTGTTTTATTTTATCTTTTTAACGCAGAGGTATTTATGGTCTGAACACAGCCTCAGTATATTGTGACGAACTTGTTCTTACCTGTGAATTATCACATAATGGTTTTTAAGACTAGGTCACACTTAAGATCAATGTGGAACATAACATTGAATGACACGTCATTGTATTCCAGTCATTCAGTGAGTGCAGCTGTTTAATATGGATGAACATTATGGATATTTGTTCGTTGTTAACGACTCTTACAGTGTGTATTTGGTATTGATCATCAATTAGAAACAAAGTTGTCACAGGACAGAAAGTGCTTGAGGGTCCCCTTTTATTTGCAGGCAGTGCTGTGACTCTGTGCTTGCTCATATATAGCAATGTTTATCCAAATGTTTTTTAGAAGATTTTATGGGTCAGTGGGTCACTGTCTGTAGTTTTGAATAACACTAATTTCAGAAGTCTGGTTTGGCTTCCCTTGTCGACATACGCCAGGAACCCTCCAATACTGATATGGGACCATGTAAACACAGCTAGCTTACAGAACAGCTCATGCTGTCTCACTAATTTTTTAGTGTCGCCAGAATGCTGCAGCCTTGTAGCAAAACCCGAGGGTAGACCTGACCCCGTCCCAAGTCCAGCATTCAGAGCAACAAGACGAGGCGAGGCTAAACAATGCTTCAGGGGGCTGGATCCTGACAAGGAGATGGAGGATGTTGCATAAACATAGTGAACAGCAGTAAAGCTAAAACGTCATTGTCTGGGTAGATCTGTTTGTAGAGACGAGGTGTTTGTGACAGTGCCTCGTTCAGCTTCTTTGAGATTTGTATTTTTACCTCTGCAACTTAAATTTCAAGAGGACTGAAGAGATGTCGAGAGACTCGAAGTGCCTTTCTGAAGATATAGATTAGAGGAGACAATTGCAACCCCGGGGTGAAAAGCAGTGCGGTTGAGCGATGGCCATGTGCTGCAGCTGGGTTCTTCACAATTTTTAAGATATGTCAACTCTACCTCTAATCTAATGATGGTGATTTATAGGGTTGCTAAGAAGAACCCCCCCCCCCCCCCCATCTCACTCTTCCTCTGTCACTGTAATCCAGGGATTTTGCCTGAGGCTTCATCACAGCTGGTTATATGTCACCAGAAGGACGTCCTCTTGCTGCATAACCTACATGCTAGGTTAATTGATGGTGATTTCACAGAGTTACCAGTTTAAACGATTCACCTGTATACTCATAAATACTTAAGTGCAATTAAGCATGTTAATGATTGAGCTGTGAACGTCCAAAGGTTAATGTGCCATGAGCATGGTTTGCATATTGTGTTAAAACATGCAGGTTAAACATTAAAATTAAAGACACGTGAATCTATTTAGCTGCATAAAAAGCACCTCCGGCACCTTTGGACAGTAATCCCATGATGCAGGCATCATGCAGCTAGTTTCATGACTCAGTTGTTTATCCAGAGAAAATGTCTGTCTGCTGAAGAATTCCTGCGAGAGCCCCTGGATGTAATCTTGCTTTGGCAGGGGGGCTTGATATGGAGCTATTCAGATGTCTCTGGCTGGATTAGTGTGTGGAGGAGGCTTGGGGGACAGGACTGCTTGGCTTCTTTAGACAGGCAGATCATAGCAGCATCGTCAGACTGTGTGTACAGTGCATCTGCAGCTGACACATGATGCCAAGCCATCGTCACCGGGTTCAGTGGGTGGAAGAGGAGGACTAATAGAGCGTACAAGTGTGCATCTGCAGGGTGGGAAGCTCCCTGTCCATTCAAGATCTGCAATTATAAAGAGCCTGGTGATTAGCTTGAGGCCACAGTCCACTTCTTCCCTCTCTGACTGTGAGCTGCCGGTAGATGATTAATGCCCTGTGATTATGCTCAAGTAGATTTCTTCTTAACGACAGAGGATGTTAAGCACTCAGCGCTCATTTGCTGTGATTGTGCAGGAAACTGACTTCAGTCACGCCAGCTGATGAAATTCACCAGCCAGTTTCACTTAAACGGACAAATGTGACTTATTACGATCTCTGTGTGGCGAGGATTAGTCTGCAAGGTGGCTCCTTTGACTCAGCATTTAAAGTGGAGGCACACATAATGAATCACTCATTATGTAGTACACATTTTAATGTACTGTATATGACAGATTATGTTTATGTAGGTATGCAAGCGCTCTCAATATGCTGATAATATCAAATTAAAAATATAGAATTACTGGAAATTCATATCCCTACTTAAAATCGGTTTAGATGCACTAATGATTAATGGCTCACAAGTGGATTGCTTTATAGATTTCAGCAGCTAACTAAAACAGAAAGTTTACAGCCCTTCTGGAGGCTAAATGCTAAGACCAGCAAGCCAACATGCTCACAATGACACTGCTAACATGTTGCTATTCAGCAGGTTCTATGCTTTTTCATTAGCAGTGTTAGCATAGTAACATTTGCTAACATTGCCATCCATTTGCTAGCCTGGGTAAAAAACACAACCTAATGTAACCTAATGAAAACCCCAAAACAATACAAACAGCTTTTTCTACATCACAAAGTGTGTACGTTTTTGTGGCCTGAACGTCAGATACGTGCTCCTGAAAGAAAAGGCAGGAAGGGAAGATGAGGGTCAACAAAAGCCACAGGGGGAGTGTATTTCTGGTTGACCCACATGCTTTTCAGAGGCGTTCAGCCTGCCGGACCCAAAGGGGGCGACGCTGACAAACCTGAAGTGACACCATGGATGTCCTCGGGTTCTGTCTCTTTCCAGAAATACCCTCTACATACACACAGCTGAACAGCGGTTGGTTCACAAGGACAAATCCATGGCTATGCTCCGAGCTTTGCCCTCTCCATGACAAAACGGGCTCTGTAGCCTCTGCCAGGAGAATACACAACACCACAGAGCACCAGATGGCTACCTAAGAAGCAATGGATGCAAAATGTCTTGAGTAAACTCCCTTTGAAGGAATAGAAAACTATGAACATACAACCAGTTAGATATTCTTAACTTTACCTGAAAGACGTGAATAATTTAAATATTTTCCAAACTTATAAAATCTACCAAAATTTCATTTCAGGGACACGATAGACCTAAAAACAAGCATATATGCTTCTAGCACTGTAGTAGACCCCAAATCGTACATTGCTGATTCTTAACAGGAAATGATATGAGCGCACCCTTGCAGAAACAACAAAGACTTGGCATGCAAAATTTTGATTGACACATATCGGCAAGCCTGTGCTGCTGTATGTCCTAAAGTAATTAGAAAATATATACAGTTGTGAGTCTTTTTTTCATCACAGATTAGCGTGGTTGACATAAAGAAACACAAATTTGTGCTGTAAATGCATCGTGACTTGAGGTCTGAGGGTTTTTAGGTTTGTAGATCAGAATACTGGAGGGCGTCTGATGACCTTGTGGTTCAGACGTGTACCTTGTAAGTGCAACATTATTTGACATGTGGATGTCATACCCACATATATAAAGCACAAACATTATATCAAAATATTTGTATACATACACATATGTATTTATATACAGTCTCTGCTCATACCCGACTCTCTCTCCCCATATTTCTAAAAATAATCTAAAAATGTAATGCTGTTTTTCTGTAATCATACAAATGTTGCATATCCCAAAGAAACACTGACATTTCTGAGTAGTTTCTCACCTAATTGTACTGACTCTAACCATCGTCATTTTAAAGATGCCAGTGATGTTTGACTGCAGTGACGTAAACCTTAATATGCACATCACCGTAATGCACATCTGTGAGCCACAAGTTTATCTGAAGCCCTCGCAATCTGAAATACATCACATCATATTTGTTCTACACTTTGGATGTAATGAACGGTTGGGTGACTGAGCAGTTTTAGAGGCTCCAGCCAACCGAAGTAAACACAGCCGGTTGTACGCTGTGGTCATGTGACTGTGGTGTTGGTCCAGGGAACCTACGTAAGCTTGCAGCATTGCACTTGGCTTCCTGCCCTCCTGGCTGGAACACCGACACACACACACACGCCTGTGCACACATACACACACCACAAACTTTGTTATATCATCCTCCCACCACTGCCCCGCCTCCACTGTTGTGTTTGATAGAGATTGGACTTGGACCTAGAGGAACATATGCCCTGACAATAGGGGATTTGTTTTCTCTCACTTGCATCTCCTGAGCCAGTTAAAGCCGTCTATTGAACCAGATCCCCTGGCACACTGACGCTGTGATAGTAGGCCACTGGTGTTGCCACGATTTCTGTCAATATTTTCTTACAAGTGAGATACTAATTCCTTTTGCTAGGGGTGTCTTCCAAGTCCAACACTCATACAGTAAAAACTGCCTTTCTGTAGGCATGACTAAGCACTGAATGATGCAGCATTGATAATAGAGGCACAGTGTGCTCTCAGCAGCCTGATGGTGAGAGGGAATCCACCACTTCTGCATTATTACAGAAGATTGTGTTAGCTGGAACACTCTCGTTTCCATCCTTTGGTCAAACATATGTTGTCATTTTTTTGCCAGTATCTTCAGGCGTTAGCCTATTCATGGGAGTGCACAAATCCACAGAGCTGCCTGGACTTAAACCAGTCGTGCTTTGCAATGCTTTGTAAATACCATAACCTCATGTTGGCAACAGCTTCTTTACAGACATACACAGTATGGCACCTTACAAGAGAGTAGTTTTTTTATTCATGTACATTCTTCAGGCTTAACAGTGTCACCTTGTAATAGTAATAAAATAGTCACACATTTATAATCTTGAATCTGTCACAGAATTTTCCTAATGGAACATTTCTGTTTCTGCAAAAGATTGCAAGTTAGCTTTACGATGTAACGTTGTTTTCTAGGGATTGCACTGTATGATTAGCATGTGAGCGACGTGATCAGTACTGTGTGAGTGGCCTTCCAATGACTCTAAAAAAAGATCAATAAAGTTCTTCGACAGCCGATGCCAAACAAACTTAAAATTCATGACATGCCCCAGTTAAGTAGCATTTTAGTTTTAATGATACAGCCATTTTATTTACTAATTGGCTAAAGATCCAGAAGGACAATGACTAACCATCTACATCACTGCAGTACAAAATCTTTTATGTCATCCCCAAGTGTCTCTTTCTCTTATGTAATATTTAGGACGTTTGTTCTCTTCCTCCGTCTCTCCCAGAGCTCCATCCAGATCACTTTTGACAGCACTCTCCAGTTAACTGCTGCCTCTGCAATAGATAGTGTGACCTGCACTGACCAATCGGCACAACGAATGGTAGGTAATCTTTGTAGTCCATGTTCATTACAGCTGAAACACATGCAGGGATTAACTTCTAAAGCAGACATTTTTAGCCAGTCACCCAGTACATTTTAATTGGAGCAAGACATGAAAAAAAAAAGAAACCCTGGACCAAACTTCTGTGTCAAGTCAAGTGCAAATGAATACATTTGGACTTTAAAAGGCGAAGAGAAGGTTTGTTTTCTTCCATTTCAGTATTGTCCTTTGTCAACCTCTTCTTGTTTTACAGGTTCTACACTGTAAATGTTGGGTGGACACAGTGACATTTCCTGTGACAGTCACCCAGCAGTCACCCGCTGCCGTTTCCATGGACACCTATCAGATCACTATAGCACCTATGGTGACAAAGGTACAAAAGCACAGCACCTGGATTTTTGCAATTTGCACATTTGAGGGTAGGCCACTAAAACAAATGAGAATGTTGTGAGCCTGATTTGCATTGTTATTCAAATGTGTAAATTTACACAGAAAAACCTGCCACTGCAATCACCGCCATTAAATGTGCAATCTCTACTAGCTCTGACAATAAATAGCCTCTGTCTTATTTCAGTAATAGAAAAAAGTATTTTTTCAAAACAAAGCACCCTGCTGCTTCCTTCCTCAGTGATGGTAGTTTTCTCCCTTTCTTTAAGAGGATAATCATGTTGGAAGTGATTTTCCATCGACACTCCACTCCTCTCCCATGCAGCATTATGAACTTATATTGTTGCACTGGAATAAAGCAGCCTCAGCATGTTCTGTATCAAAATACCTACTATATTACTCCTATAATTGATTGGAGCTGCATGTCTGTTAACATGCTGTCTGAATCTAAGTCTAATGTGTTTTCCGATCCTGCTCCCACTGCCTGTCTCCATCAGGTGGTGGTAAGTCTGGAGGAGGTGGAGGACGAGGGTCTGCTGATGTCCTGGACTCTTGCCAAGCAGCCATCATTTACTCTCACAGTGTCTCCATGCAAGCTGCAGAGACAGGTGAGAGCATCTGATATTGATACCACTAATATGATATGTCTGCCTCATGTAGCCATCAGAGACCTCAGTTTTGAGACTGTTAAGAGTTTAAAAATTCAAGGTTTGCATATGTTCTAAAAAGAAAACACACATTATGGATTTTTTTCTGAGACTGGCCGTATAAATCTCAGTCAACGTAATGTTTTGCATATGAGTCACTTTCTACCCCATTAATCGTGAGTCATAAAGGAAATGGCTTTCTTGAATATCCTTGCAAAACTGTGCCTGTAATAGTCAGTAAATGAAAAAAAACAAAAAACAAATATGGAGCACAGAAAATTGTAGGACCAGTGTGTAGGATTTAATGACATTTAGGGGTGAAGTTGCAGATTGCAACTAACTGAATAACCGCTTTCCTTCCAAGTGTGTAGGAGAAACTATAGTGGCCAAAACTAGTTAAAAACACAAAAGACTCTATCTCGAGCCAGTGTTTGGCTTGTATGTTCTGGGCTACTGTAGAAACATGGCAGGTCAACGTCGACTCTGTAGAAGAGAACCTGCTCTTTCTGTAGATTAAAATGGCTCGTTCTAAGGTAACAAAACGTTTTTATTTTGAGGTAATTATACACTTATGAAAACTTTTTCTTCTCAGGGCACTGAGGGTGAGGTAGACCTGGACATGATTAAAGGACTGATAGAGGATACTCTTTTCAGCACTCAACCAGCCATGGTCCTCAACCTTAAGACTTGTGCACCCAATCCTTTGGTGAGAAATATGTTTTTTCCGCTACTTTTGCAGCAATAAGACAAAGAAAAGGAACGTGTTTTCTGAAATAAATAAAATGCTATGACTGGATGCTGTATGATAGATCCTTTTCTTAAACTGATTTTGCTGTTGAACCCCTTTACTGCAGCCCCCCATGGACCATCTATCAGTGGGATTGAACTCTGTATCCCAGAGTGTCTTGGTGAGACGACTACTGCTCCGGCAGCTCAGGGCGACCTTAAGTAAAGGTCAGATATTTCCCTCACAGCAGATCGTTTCCGCACGGCTTCCTGCTGATTGCCGACGTCTCACTGTGTCGCTGTGTGTTTGCAGGTCAGTGGTCTAGATCAGGGGAGCTGTGCTGTGTCCTGAGTGTGGACCAACCCTCCACAGAGAGGACAACCCGCTTCCTGTCCGTGCCCAGCAACGCCAACACCCCACTGGAGTGGAGTGAAGAAATTACTCTGTAAGATGGTGCCTGTAATGACAATACTGATGTTAATGTGTCATGATTGTGTACATTTGTGCCAACATTTAAGTCCCTGAAAATGTTTTTTCTCAATCAGCTTGCTTAGTTGGGAAAAGTGAGTCATAACTTCCATGCACCAATGAGGACTTTTGACAATTGAATTAGAATCTGATGACAGTTGGTGGGTTGTTTTGTCACTGTCAATCAAATCTGATCAAACCACACCCACACTGTCGTGATGAAGCAGATTCTTTTTTGAGTGTTATGTCATAAACATATGTCAACAACAATGTTATACTGCATTACTTACGAGTTTTCAGGGGCTTTAAAGTGAAAATCGGCTTGAGAAAGAAATATTCCAATCAGTGTATTTTTGCATTATAATTCTAACACAGTTGTTTCCTGTGTGTTGAAGGGAGCTGGGCCTAGAAACCAAAGAGCTGAGAATCAGACTTCTGGAACGGAACGGCAAAAGGGAACGTAAGGCATTTCTCAATAGCAATTTAGTATTGGCTGCTGTTCAGGAACCTGATCAGCAGGAATGTTTAGACTGCTTAAGCAAAATCTTCTATGCCTAAAATGCACTGTTGGCAGGCTCACTGGAATGGTCTTTGTTAGCGTTTTTCAGATGTATAACATGTCAGTAGATGTTCCTGGCATGGCCTCAGAACTGCATTTAGGGAACAGCTTTTCATTTTGTTTGTACATATAGATTAAGACTTTCTCTATGTTTTAAATATGATTAGAATTCCTGCCTGGCCACGCCTGCATCACTGTGGACCTCCAGTCCAAAGTTCCTACTGGACAACATATACTGTCGATAAGCCCCGGCCACGGCTTGGCACCGAACGCTACCGTCACAGCAGAGGTGAGCGGCAAGATGCAGCACATTTCTGTCAAATGATGGAACATTTTTAAAAGCCATTCTCATGGTTTGAAGTGTGGTATTACATCACAGTTTGTTATCTAACATCAAGCAGAATGAAACAAAGATTCACAACAAAAGGAGAGGGAGTGTTGTATAACAGCTAATACATAGTACATTGTCATGCCTGTAACACCAACTTGTTGCCTTTTTTTCCTTCTTGCAGTGTACATATTTCTTCAAAGACTGCATAAACATCTGCTTTATTTCTGATGGCTAACATTTCATATTGGTACATTCCCTGTTGTCCCGTGCCTCTCCTGCAACCTCTTATACCTACACTGATTAGTCATCTGAAATTGTCCTCGCAGGTCCAGATGTCAGTTTAAATAAAGTGCCCACCTCTTTATTAAAGTGCACTCTTTTTAATGAAGTGCCCATCCCCTCTACACATTTTATTTGCTAAATGAGAAGTTCATTTATCGCTTTTCTTTTACTCCCCCAGCTGCTGTATGTGGAAACAGAAGAGCCTCGCATCACCCACAATGCTTTGCCTCTTCGCTCCTCACTCACCCCCACCAAGAAAGTTGATGTGGACCGAACAATCATGCCAGATGGAACCATTGTCACCACTGTCACCACCATCCAGTCTCGACTCAAACTGGAACGCAGTCCAGGTACAATTGCAGAGTCAAGTATCACCTTGTGCCAGGTTATGAAACAAGAGATAAAAGAATCTTGTGACAATATTAACAATGACATAAGATAGTTTTGATGCCTCTCAGGTGATTCCCCTTTACGTTCGCCATCCAAAGTGGAGGTGAATGAGAAGAAACCCACCATCCTGTCAGATGGCAAAGGCAGCCCCAACTCCAGCAGTGAGTTCTAGGCTGATTCTGGCCAGAAGTTGTTTTACATAACAGATGCAAAGTAGGATAAGCAGCAAGCAGCAGTGTAACACGAGATGAGACAAATGCACTACGCAGTACACATGATGCACTGTCTGTGCAGGTACTTTTGTTCAAAAACAACGTTTACAACGGCTTTACACAGGGAAGCAACTTGCTTATTGTATAGAAAGCAAAATACAGATAAAGTCTGATAAACAGGAGAATGTTTGAGAAATATAACTACATATATATATTTGATTTCTCTTTAGCATTAAAGTAATGTCCTTTTTAGTTTGATACAATAGAGTTTTCTTATATATATTTCTATAGTATAGTGCTGTTACATATTTGTGTTTCTGTTGCTCAGAGAGCAGCCGCCTCTCTAATGGCCTGGATCCTGTTGCAGAGACGGCCATCAGGCAGCTGACAGAGTCCGCCTCCAAAGTAGCTGGGAAGACACCAACAAAAAGGAGCACGCTGATCATCTCAGGCGTGTCAAAGGTCAGAGAACTGAGACTGAGAGTGTGTTATTGAATTTGTGCCATCACTGGTAAAACAGTGGTACAGTCAGTCATCTGCCAGTATATTTAATTGTTTGACACATTTGTGCACTAATCAGTAGGATGTCAGTTATCCACACAGCTATTTTTATAAATGAATATATAAAATTGCTTTTGTTTTCTGAGTACATGAAACATTAACAAAAACCTACTTTTAAGGAATCTAAAGTACAATGACATGGAACCAGGCAAAATGACTTTGATCTAAATTTAGTCCACAGTCCCAGTCCCCCATTGGACCACATTATGGGAGAATGAAAGGCTTCTGACCTGATTTTGGCCTGAAAGCCTTTAGAAATGTATTCAGCGCAAGAAGCCACACTTGAATGCGTGCTGATGATGAAGTGCATATTTTGAAATAATAATAATAATAACATTAATTATCGTCCCGTGCCCAATATAATCCCTTAATTAATCGCATTAACTAATTAATCTTATCAGGTTCCGCTCTCAGAAGATGACTGTGTGTTATCGAGCGGCTACGCTGCAGCCATGGACGCAGCCATGCACGAAAACCATTACGGCGCGGGGCATCACCAGGAGCCGGATGAAACCACGCCTTCCGACGTGTCAGAGCGTCCATCTGTGGACGATGTGGAATCAGATACTGGTTCCACTGGTGCCTTGGAGACCCGCAGCCTCAAGGACCATAAAGGTAACACAGTGGTCATAGTTTGCTGCCTGGTCTGTGCAGTGAGGTAGAGATTCACCTTCTACTAACATTGTTCAGTACTGTTTTATGCTAATTGTAAACACAATATCCGGCAGTTCAAATATTGTCTTTGCAAATTGTTTGATGGCACATGGCCAGTCTCTTGTCTTTGAATGATAGATCAAAGATTAGATTTGGTTTATTTTTGTCTTGTAAAAGAGGTTATCATTTTCATAACTCACTGTATTATATTAAACTGTGCAGTATATTTCACATGCTTATTTTATAGCCTTACATAACATCAAAACTTCAATAGAGCAGCTGACTCTAAAGTCCTGCTACTGCCCTCTGGAGGCCATGCTGCAGTATACACCCAACCAGACCAAAGTGTTTTTGAATGAATCAGTTCTAAATTCAATTTGAATATCAGTTTGATAAGGGAGCTGTCTCATGGAATCAGTGGATTTATTCAACAACAGTAGTTGGTTGATTGATTAGTGTTTTTCAATTAATTGCAGTATTGGGTCCCAATACTCGGGGATCACCAATTAAATACAGTGATGTGTCCTGTCTGCTTCCTCTAGTGGGTTTTCTACAGAGTGGGTCGAAGCTGTTGTTCCGCAGGAGACATCGAGAGAAGGAGTCCTGCCTCAGCCAATCCCACGAAGACATCTCCAACATGGGCAATAACTTTGCTGCTCCATCCAGCAGCCGTAAAAAGTCCGGCAGCTTCTCCCGGCGCCTCATCAAACGCTTCTCTTTCCGCTCATCAGGCAAATCAAAAGGCAAAGCCACTGCTACCAACGGAGGAGCGAGCTCACTGGATAACTGATTATCACTGTTAGAACATGCGTCATTGTGACTTTGACAGGGTTGTTCTAAGGCTTCTCTTATTACTGTCAGAAGAACCACTACACCTTGAAAGAGTCCAGTCTTTGAACACCCCAGGTGGGTTGTCACCTGTACATCTTGAAAGGAGGAAACCTCTGGGAGGGATTGTTCCTTTGGAAAGAATTTATTGCACCTTCAGGACAGAAGTCTCGTTTAAACACATCACTGAACTTTGTTGTGATTGAAAAATGTTTCTGTTTCTTTGAAGCAGAAATCTGCTGCTCAGCGGAAGAGAAGGTGATACTTACAATGAAATGTGATGTTCCCTGTTTGAACACAAACTATACCGGGAGTGTTTGATTGTGACTGATGGTGGAAATGCTCTTAACTATTTAATGATATAAAATGCCAGTATGATGCCATTGGTTGCACTTTGGACTTTTTTTAATTCCTGGGTTATATAAAGGTAATTTATTATTATGTGGTTCACATGAAACAAGTGCTATTTATTTTTCCCCCAAAAAAGGAGTCCTCATAGTTGCATTACACTGTAAAATAGAGACGTTGCTGTGTGTTTTTTCCATGCAAATGTAATTTTAAACGCATAGTTTCAGTAAGTTAACAAATATCCATCTTAATCTAGCTATAATGTCCATTCACAATTGCTTATACATTGGTTTTAGAATGTTGTTCGATGTTGTATCTTATATAAGCAGAAAAGATAATATATTTATTATACTTTTTATTTTATAAAGGTACTTTCTGTGGAATATCATAATGCATTTCAGTTTGCTTTTGACAACTTCAGCCAGCCAGGATCTCTGGCAGATGCTTCAAACCGGGCAATGAGTTTAAACTTTTTAAATTCTGACATTTTTCTGTCAGTAAAAAAAAACACACCATCATTTCCGGCTCTCCTCTTGGCTCCTTTTGACTCCATTTAAGTCAAAACTGCATCTAAACACATTATTGAGACTTCAGTTGATGCTCATATGGACTTTTCATTATTGCAATAACTCATTACTTTGCAGCAAGATTGCATATATCGTGTGAAATGCCTGACATGGGTCGCAGACAAATTAATCATTTGCAGTAAATGCTAACATCAGATAATAATCATGAACTAAACATAGCTAAATGTATCCTGTATTCACATTTAGGAGCCTTCTTTCTTTTTAAATACATTTAAGTCCCACATTAATACAGCAACAGTTCTGCCGTTTAGCCTGGAACAAATGGAACCTAACGTTCAGAGATGTTCTGCTGAGACATCAGCAACAGGATTTTCAAAGGTTTACGACAAGGTGAAGAGCAAAGTGGACACACTCAGGGCTAGAAGTGAAATTGCTACTAGCAACTAGAGATATAAGGACACCTGATGCATCCTTCAGACAGAACCGATGTGTAAAAATGTACATTCATTTTTGGACGTTTGTGTTTTGTCAAACAAAATGAAAAATCTACATTAATAAAACTGCATTAATTATGGGACTTCAGAACAACCAAATGAAATGATTTTGATTAAGGATAACTTATTAAAGGGATCACAGAGGTGCTTTACAGAACTGCAACCAAGTCATAATGCTGAAGAAATGAACAAAGCCTCTTCATTGTCTTAAGCCATATATATATGGCTGGAATGTGAAACAGAAAGCGGCTGCAAAATTTAAGATATGTATGATTTGTTGTAATATTTAAAAAATGTTTAATTTATTGCAAAATAAATTATTTTTGAAGCGTCACTTACAAGTCTGTACCTGACTCCTGTTGAGGCCCTTTGCTTCTTAAAATGACCCTACACTGTCACTGACTAAAATGACTTCTTACACATTAAAATTAAGTACATTTCAGCAGTATATACTCAGGATCTATACAACATGTTTAAATGATCTAAATGAGCAATATCAATAAAATTCTGCATTAGATCACTTTCACTGCACAATCTGCAAAAGCGCCAAAAACTTGAAGCTGGAGGGAAGACACCGGATTGGTCGTCTATGTCCGCCTCTCTACATCTGTGACCCACTCACAACAAGCCGGAAATACAACAGCCAATCGCCTTTGTTTCTTACGTGCAGCGCATCGTGATTGGTTTGACACCAGAGCAGTTACACCAATAGCGATTTACTTCCGATCTCCGTTGCCCTCTGTAAGCCAATCATACTTGACCATTTTCATTCCAGAAGCCAATCGCGTCGTAGGGCGGGACAACGCTGGGGGTTTATATCCAGGTCGGGCTCTACGGTTTCCTTATTGCTTGCAAACCTACGACTGCAGTCATTTGTATCGGAAGAAAAGCTCAATAAACCTACAATGTCTGGAAGAGGCAAAACCGGAGCAGCAAAGGCCCGCGCCAAGGCCAAGACCCGCAGCTCCCGTGCCGGTCTTCAGTTCCCTGTCGGCCGTGTCCACCGTCTCCTCCGCAAGGGTAACTACGCTGAGAGTGTCGGTGCCGGAGCTCCGGTGTACCTGGCCGCCGTGCTGGAGTACCTCACCGCTGAGATCCTGGAGTTGGCTGGAAACGCCGCCCGGGACAACAAGAAGACCCGGATCATCCCCCGTCACCTGCAGCTGGCTGTCCGCAACGACGAGGAGCTCAACAAGCTGCTCGGCGGAGTCACCATCGCTCAGGGAGGCGTCCTGCCCAACATCCAGGCCGTCCTGCTGCCCAAGAAGACCGGCCAGTCTGCACCGAGCTCCGGCAAGGCGGGAAAGAAGGCCTCCTCTCAATCTCAGGAGTATTAGCTTGTTTGCTAATAACTTTCACCCCCCAAAGGCCCTTTTAAGGGCCACCCACTTCTCACTGAAAGAGCAGATGTTCTTGCTTATCGCTGTCATTTCATTTCCCGCATTTTTAATTTAATAAACGCTTTGTTTTGTAAACGTGGTGCTCACTATTCCTTATTCGGTCAGGCTAACTGAAGCTAACGTTGCTAGTTCAATGACTTCTGCTGGAGATTAGCCACTGAGTTAATGTGTTTAGCAAACCTTCCCTATACCTTGATGACATTAACTTGTGCCATAGTTTAAAAATGGCTTGCAGCACAGCGAGGTTGTTTATATGCGACCTGTTCAACAGGCCACTAACGTGACAGGTCTGGGGACAGTCATGGCCCCCCTCCAGAGAGCAGCATGAACAGCAAACTCATGGACCACAACCTGCAGGATGCTGTTCTTCTGGGTCTTTCTAGCATGACTGTGCAGCTTTTGTACAAGCAGGGTCTTAAGTTACTCAGTCTCCATTAATATAAACGAATACCTCCAATACACTATTTAACACATTGTAGTTAATATACAACCATAATAAGGGATTAAGTTAAACATAATTGAAGTACCTGACTTCGGATCCCATTATTAGTATTGCACCTATGCCTACACCAATAATAAATCCCACCCAATTACATCAATGCATTTAATGAAGCACTACAAACTACAGCTTCCAAAGTTGCCATAATAATCTCTAAAATTATTTCAACAGCCTTCATGAAGATAAGTTATTGCAGCATTGTCACATTAGACTGCATTAGTTTTGGCTGTAGTGTACCGAAGAAGCTCACAGCTGGGTGTATCTTGGCGTATAAAGTAATTTTAGAGTCAGGGCAAGTTGTTTTGAACATCTCTGGGATTTTATTCGTTAAAACAAACAGCTGTCTTTTCTTTAGGTGAAAGTGTCCTAAATAGACTTCATCTGTGTGGTTAACGCCTACATAACATACCAACGGCTTTTTGAGCTCCAGGTGTTTCCTTGTGACATGTGAAGAAACAAACAACTCTCCAGCCAGTTTACCAGCGTGAGCAAAGTGACATCAACTACATGTGGCTCTAGTGCTGCAGGCATACCATTGTGAATTAATTTAATCAATTTAATCCTCTAAGTGTAAATTCCATCATCCAAATGAAGAGGATTTGTTCTAGAAATTAGGCAGTGAGTCACTGAGCCATTTTTGTGAAAGTAGACAAAAGGCCATCAGCACATAGCAGGATTTGGATAAAGTTCCAGTACATCATGTGAGTCATTTCTGGTAGTTTTTTTTACCACACGTAACTATTTGCTTCCATCCTCATACAAATGTAACTGCCAATTAGCTCTTGTAATATAGGATAAGAATAGGTGTTGCAGAGAGATTCTGTGTAGTCTGAAAGGGATGAGAAGGATCAGTACAAACCCCCAAATAAAACCTATGCTGGAAAAAAATCCACCATGCACAAGTCATAAATGCACACTAGGTTGCAGAAAAACAAGTCGTGGCTTCTGACACCTCACCAGACTGCTCCATAGGGCTGTGACTCCCAACACATTCAAACATAAAGTATAATAGAGTTTAAACATGTAGTACAATTACAGCATGCACCAGAAATGGTTGTCCTAATTAGACAATGTAACGCATGTCAGAACAATCATGATTATGGTGGTGATCAAGCTGCACTTCACTGACTTTTCCACCAGGGGTCAACTGTTTCATATCTTAAAATCTGGGATGTGTTGATGCCCTGTGTGTGTTTCCATTTAATAACCATTGGAAGATGCTTCACTGCACATATTGTTTCAACAGATATGCACCTCATGCACCCTATCTAATGAAAATGCTGAAAATTAAAGACTTTTCAGTAACATGTAAAATAATAAAACATCTGAAAAACTATGTTGAGGCCCTTCAGTCCTTCCAGTAGTTCACACTTCATATTTTTACGTGTGTGCACCAAAAAGTCACCTGTAATCTACAGGAGGAAAGCATGCAGATATTTTGGTCTGCGTTGGCTGCTTTCTACTGGCACAAGCAGCATGACGCACCGAGTTTGAACCGAGCCCAGGACAGGCTGAACCAATTACTTGGGCCTTGACAACGTGTCCAACACCAACAGCCAGGCTAAAAATTCCAGCCTGAGAGGAAAAAAACCTGAATGTCCATTGGCTGTGATGACTATAATTTCCTGTCAGAGGCTCTAAATTTACCAGCGATGCTCTTCTCAGCTGTTCATATTTAAGCTTTTCTTAGTTTACATCTGCCTTTTCTGTGGCCGCGCAGTGTTTAGCAAAAATTGGTGCCTTGAGAGAAAGTATGCCTGTGAAATGTCACTTGTGTTTCTCTCATAGTGCAAACAAACGTTGGCTACCTCAGTCTAATCCTTCATGAGTTTGAAGTGATCTCATCCTGAAGACACTTTTTTTTACCCCATGTTTTCTGAATTACAGCTTCAGGAATGATGAACAAAAAAACATGACCTGCAGCTAGTGCAGGGATACAGAGGGGAAACATTCTTTCAGGTATGCACTGGGTATGGTGTGTACATGTGAGGAAATCTAAAGATCTAGAAAACAAATCTGACTCACAGAGGAACGTAGATATACAGAGATATACAGATGGCAAAAGGGAATGATAAGTGGGGAGAGAAAAAAGGCTGGATAGAGGGGTGGGCCCAGCAGAAAGATGTATTTGGATGCACCGAATGTTTCACTTTGAAACTTTCCCAACAGCAGCAAACGACAGACAGCATTTTTCCACCCTGGAGAAGAGAACTGGAAGACTTTTCTCATGAGGAGTTGGGAAGATGTTTTTAATCTTTGGACGAAATCATTCCACAGACAAGAAGATGTTCCTAGCCAGCTCTGGTAATGAAAAACAAAAATATTTGCTTGATGATGTGTGTGTGTGTGTATGTGTGTTTCAATGAGAGAGTAAGTGGTAGACAGAAGGGGATAATGGAGCTATTGTGGCAGTTTACACTTATGCCTTTCAGCCTGGCCCTGTTATTTCTCACTGGAACTGTGTGTGAGAGAGTTTACATACTTTGGTTATCATTTGTGTAATCATTTATTATCATCTTTGTGCCCATTTATAACTTAAATATTACAGAGCAGGTGGAAGGTTTCAAAGAGAGAGAGAGATTAGGAGCCAAAGCCAGCCGTCTCTGTGAATGGACACTTTTATGTGTGTGTGAGATCTGGCTGCCTTTGGGGCTCATGTGGCTATTAATGCACTTTGGTGGAATTACAGGCTGATGAAGTATTTCCCCAAAAGGAGCGTGAGGTGCACATGTGCCTGAGTGAGTATGTTTAACTTTGAAATAGACCTTCTGATGTGATGCTCTTCTGTGTGGCAGGGGGAAAACAGGTCAAATACATTTCATGATTACATAACTTGTTTGCATGTCGATGTGTATTCACTCTTCTTATGGAACATAGTGATGCGAGACAAGAGGACAGATGTTTCAAAGGAAATGGCACATCTGTTTGGTGAGAGACTCAAAGGAAAGGTTCTTGGCATATCAGCAGCTTCCTGTGTTTTTTTTTTATTTGTTCTGGTTCGTCTGGGGTCGTGCCTTATTGTAGTAGCATTTGGCTGATCACTTGATGTGAGCTGGTACTTTCTGGACTGTATGATAATTGTTGCAGTATGGAGCATGTGGGTGTTACATCAAGCAGAGCAACTCAGAAGATTCAACTGTTAGTTTGTTTTCCTTATAACAGAATAGGTTGTTTTTAACAATACTGCAAAAATGAGACATTGTGTTACTACCATAATGTCCTTCAACTATCTGGGTCTTTGTTGTACATGATGATGATCTGTGATCTGTGAATAAGTCTTTTACCACTTCTCCCTCAGGTTGAGAATTTAAGGTCAAAGTTAGGGCAGAGGTCATGTTTTGGCCTGTCACACTTAGCGGAAGAAGCAGGATTTTGTGCACAGCCTGAGAGGAAGTGCTGACTTGGTTCAGTACCTGAATCCATACAAGAAGGTAAAAGCTGTTTCTCATTAGACTCCCACACACTTTTCAGCTGCATGAATGTAAGCTGCTTCTACCTCTCTGACTGTAGCCCGCTCAGGCTTATTGTTCCTGACTGCACTTTAACATCCTGCAGAGATCTGCAGACATCTGCTCCAACAAGTCAGTTAGGTTAGACAGTATAGAACAGTGTGTATCTACAGAGCACACAAACCTCAAACCAGACACGCAATTCAAGAGAAGTCCTCACACCAGCTGGTAAATCTTCCAGAAAAATAGTGAACTTTTGTCGTCCTCCCAAAGCGCTCTTAACCTGTTACACTACAGTCAGTTCAGGTTGACAACCAAGACTGCAGGGAAAATAAAGTTGCATTAAGTCATAGCATTGGCTAGCAATCAACATTAGAAGGCAAACAGATATTGATCATCAATCCATCAGTTCAACCGTCCAGACCGATATGATATAACTCCAAGACAAAATAAAAACCTACTTTTTAAAGCCATGATTAAAACATTGTATCGCACCTTTAACAACATCTTTTCAAAACCCTGTGTTAATAATATTACAACTCACAATCTTAATTATAATACTACTTGACTGGCAAAAAGCAACATCCTTATTTTTTACTTTAAAGCCGGTTTAATGCATGTGCTCCAATTAATAAGATTCAAAATGAGTTAAATTATAAACTCTTGTTAATATTGACGTGGACGCTCACGGTCATATAACATTCTGATAGTTAATAAGGATTCACTTTCCTCTGCTGTATTACGTTGCTTGCTGTAGCTGGGGTGAACAATCTACACTCAAAATCACTATTTAAAGGACAATCAGCAACTTTTCATCCCCTCAGCTGTAACCTCCACATCATCACTGAGAGGGCGTCTGACTCAGAGCATCAACCCTCTCTGCAGACTTTGCTTCAAGTCCATCTGGTTACTTAGCTGCCTCTGTTTGTTTGTTTTTATTTCCCTTAGTGACTCATCATCTGCTTCATTTCCTCCATCTCCTCTCTGGCCCCCGACCATGGGAAAAGCCTTGTGAGATCAATAGTGGAGTCTTTCTCCCACTCTCTTCCACTGTCTCTCTGTATCTCTGTCTGTGGGCCAAATAGTTCCTGTGGGACTGAGGGTGAAAAGAAATGGCTCACATGTGTCTGCTCACTTCCTGTGGAGCATAGTATGTCTCTACCACATCATTATTGATGTATAAAGCACAGTGGACACATTATAATCCACAGTGCTTAGTCATAATTATCATGAATTGATTTTTCCAGAGTGCAAGTACCCACTCTACAATTTGTTGCATCAGTGGGAGCAGAAAGCAGAAATTTCCATCTCTTACTCCTACACCACTTTTTATTTCCTCCCAGGATCAGACACCTGCTTTATCAATAGACAATGCTGAGGAGACTCACAGCACTGCAGGGTTTGGTTTTCAGCCTCCTCTGATCATCTGGTGCGGCTCATCTGATCTTTCAATCAATGGAAATCCTGTAGGAGTGAATACATCTCAGGGACTCTCTGAGGAGGATCTGAACTTTGACCCAACGCCTCTCTTAACATTGAGTGTTTTGAAATGGAAGTCCTTCACTCATAACGTTTATTTGCCAAAAGGAGACAGGAAGTCAGTAAAACAGACCACTTTAAGTCACAAGTAAAAGCACATTTTGCAGGGCAGTGCCAATGCCGGGGTCCCCCTCTGCTGCGTGTCGGGGAGGTAACTCTGCACCGGGATGGGGAGGAGAAGGGGTTGGGAGGAGGGAAATAGCGGAGGAACTCAGAGAGTGAATGAAAAAAGCAAGGAGCAAGACATAAACAACAATGTGGACACTGCTCTATGGATTAATAAACTTAAGACAAACTCATGGATGTAGCTGTTGTTTGGACTCTGCAAGAGTAAAGAAATGGTAGGACCTGCATGTCTGTCAGTGAAGTAAGGAAACTGTTGACTTTGTGTGCCAGCACTCTTGTTGTCTTGTTTTCTGCTTGTTTTTATGCCGTCTTTTATAGCATATCACTCCCTTTTATTTAATTTATCATTTTAAATCTAACATTTCTGTCTATCTCAGTTTTGTCAGTGTTCACTCTCAGCAGATTTCTCTTTCTCTTTCTCTTTAAAAGTAGCAGCCCAGACTGTGTGGCTGGTGGTGTCTATTTTCAGAAGTTCATGGCAACTCTGAAGGGCATAACTGCCCCCATAATGACAGGTTAGAGTGGAAGGCCTTGCATTTGCAAGCTTTAAAACTATTCTCTGGCTTGGGTGTGTACGTTAAATCACTGAGGCTTGTGGGAGCAGGACCATGTGTGCGCACATATGTGTATATGTGTGTGTGTGTGTGTGTGAGCCAGCCAGAGACACATTACCCTGCCCACTCTCCTGTCCTGTGTCTGAGTGCGTGGCTCAAAGAGGGCCAGTGTTGACAGCCAGTGGGCTGACAGCAGAGGCGTGTGGGGTCCAGTGTCAGTGCTGAACAGAGGGGACGGTTTGTTCTCCGTGTCACTGGGTCCTCTGAGACGCACACATAGACGGGATTGTCAGATATGCGTGGTTTCACCCGGCGGCTTTCGTCTGGAGTGACATCAGACGCAGATAGAACGCCCTGTTGTGCCAGCTGAGGCTAAACTTGGAGCACAAGCAGCTGCGGATGGTTTTTGGCTACTTTTGCAAGAATTTTAAATGATCAGTGATGTCAGCATGGAGCGACAAAGAGCTCAAGCGTTTCTTTTTGATGCAACTGTCATGTGTTGGGCTGATGTGGTCATGTCCTGACACACAGACTGGGAAATTAAAGGGGAAAACCAGACTTAGTGAAAAACACAGGTGAAGAGGTGTTATTGAATGGTTTGATGATCACAACAATGATGTGAATCATAGTCACCATATCTCAGATTTTAGACTGAGAGACAGACAGCACTCTCCAGCACCATAAAAACTCAGAACTTTCTTTTGGAAAGTTTGTGTTTGTTCCTCCAGTAGAGTTTAAGTGATTAAACCATTGAAGCTATTTGTCACATATGGGAATTGCCATACATCTCAGTAGTCAAACATGACATCCAGTAGCCTAATTTAAGTTTGATCCAATGGTAGACAAAGCAAACGCTAGATAATAGGTAGTTATGTCTATTTCAGTTTTACTTGGAATGCTGAGCTGATACTAACTTGTTGCCAGGACAAGAAACCCATGTGGGTGATAGTGAAAGATGTGGATTTTAGCTCTTAGCAGAAAAAAATACGGTGAGTCATCCGGGCTGCTTATGTGTCTGTGTGTGATTGTTTGAGGTCAGTCTGGTCCTGGTTGTTGTTTCCCTCTCGTCTGATGTGAGCTCTGATGAGTCGACAGCTGGATCTAATCTGCTGCAAACACAGAGTGTGTGTGTGCGTGTGTGTTTGTGTTTGTAAGATCTGTATATGAGTCACAGTGACTCATGATGGTCTGAGGAAGCAGTGGTCTGACCCATGATGTCCAAGGCACCTGCAGAGCTCATTCACACCTTCTGGTGCATCTCAAAAGTACATTTGTGATAGCAAATGCTTGTTGTCAAATGTGTAAAATCCGTAATCATTCTTAGATTGAGGCACAAATCAATGCCATCCTTCTTGATGGATCATTTTGTCTTGCTAGTTCTAGAGAGACAATTACCCAGTATAATGGATTGGTCACATGGGCTTATAAGTGGGGCATGAGGTTTCTAAGGAAAGCACTGTTCCCATTGTAGTACGACTGTAGTAGCAGCATTCCCAACGCTCCCATTCATGCCCTGCTCTCTCTCTCTCTCTCTCTTTCTCTCTCTCTTTCTGTATATGTGTGCTTGCTTCAGGATCTTCATGTGTCAGATAATTCTGACAGTCCAGCCGACATGGAGCGCATGAGCAGGAATAAAATGGAACAGGGGCGACAGACGCACCAGGTCTTACAGGTGAGTCATTTATTACTTCAGAGCCATGGACCATTTAGAGCTGGTAGATCCAGGATGTTAAATTATCTGAAACTAACTTTATTACTATCACCATCTGCTGTGAGTCAGAGTGTTACTCAATCTAACTGAGACATGAATGATGTTTTGTAAGAAGTTAAGATTGTTTATATGCTTTGTCTCTCTGATATGGATGGTAATTGTTGTATCCCTTTTGACAAGCAAGTCTGACTTTGAATCAGATGCTGAATTAATCATTAAAATTGTACCATTCTCCCAGCTGCAGACATTTTCAGGATGACAAAATGTAACTGATGTAGCTGGTGAATCTATTCACTAATTCAGGTTTAATATTGTAGAACCTCATGTACTGCTATAGTAAACTGTTCTAGTCTTAATATTTTCAGAACTAGTCCCCCAACACAGTATGATCAGATTCATATATTGTATCTTAATATTTTCCTTATTTGTGTATGTTATTCAAGCATAAATTTGAATGAACAACTTCTTATTTGATTAATTTAATATTTATGTTTAGCTGTCCTTACATGTAGTTTTCACTTTTAAGATTCAGAACAAAAATAATGCCCACAGAATCTCAGCTGTGTAACTTAATTGTCTTTGTGACTTAGTTGTCTCAGGATCATGTCATTATGTTTTCCAATTGATTTTGTTTTCACAGAGCACTCCTTTAGACTTGATTGAGACAGGCAAGTCCCTGAAAGTCCAGGCAGAGCGCCCCCACCTGGTTAGTTTGGGAAGTGGACGCTTGAGCACAGCAATCACCTTGCTACCACTGCAGGAAGGTGAAGACCTGAGTGTATGCATGTGGTTTTGAGTGTATGTTTGTGTTGGTGGGAGGGTGGGTATTAAACTGTGTTTGATTAATTAAAATAATAATTAATAACATGCATTGTTCTGATCACTAACTGCTGAATTAAAATGAGTTATGCATGTTATAGATATTTTTGTGTCTTTGTTAAATGGGACATTTGACACAGCATTACCAGCTTTTATATGCAGCCCTGCTCCATTACTTTTGTAAGGTGACTATAACTGTAAGAAGAGCTAATAAGACCATAAAACTAGAACTTTTCTACCCTACATTGTAAAGTACAGCTGTATAAGCCCAGCCATCTCTGTTCTGATAGGATCTGTATGTTATTGTTAGCTAGTTCAGACACCATAAGCACAATATTCAAAATAAGTGAGTTGTTCTTTAATAAGTAAGCGGCACAACTTGTCTTGAGTGATGAATTGACAAAAACTGATGACACATTACTCTTTAACCCTGTTATTGTTACTCATACTGTGTCACAGATGCAATAACACCCTTGTCTGTGATTTTCCTGCACCATTTGTGTTTCACTGAGCCTAAAATCCACAGAGGACGAGAGGGTGTGACAGTAGCACCCCAGAGCCCTCTGGGATTGTCTTTGTACTCTACCTAGTCTGTGCTATCACATAAGAATAAATAGTGTGTGTTGGGTTAACTCTCTTGCACCCCGACAGTAATATAAATGTAACTGATAATCAAATTACAACAAATTAAATAGTAGTAATCTCTTGAGACTGACACCTGACCTGTCGCTCAACATTCAATCACGTGGTGATTAGTGACTCCAACCATGGGGCCTTGACCTCTGGCTTCAAACCACAGCCTAAGAATACTTCACAAGTATTCAAAGTTCCACGTGGATGTCCTGTAACTGACGCTGAGAAAATGTTTCTCTTGTTGCAGGGAGAACCACACTGGGCAGTGAGGGGACAGACATCCCTCTGCAGGGCCACGGCATCGCAGCTCAGCACTGCTACATCGAAAACCAAACAGGCAACATCACCTTGTACCCATGTGGAAACCAGTGCTCTGTCGATGGCCTTCCCATCACCAAACCCTATCGCCTGACACAAGGTAGCACTTCCATAAGCTAACATGACTGCAGTAATATGACTGTTAGTGTTTTGGGTTTTTTTCATGAAAAACAGTACACCTGCTTAGCATCAGCTCAGCATGTTAGCATGCAGATTAGCATTTAGCTCACAGTATTGATGTGCACTGATGAGACACATGTATGGCTTTAGGATCATAGTGTTGTTGAATGCACCCTTATCTGTGAAATCATATTGATATACATTCAGATGACTTATTGAAATTGTAATGCATTGTAGTATTACTTATATAAACTGCAGTATTCAATACCTTTGAGGCAAAGTGTCACAATGTCTAGCTTCACAAAAACAAAACAGTCAAAACAGCCCCATGTCCTTCCGGTAGCATGCGTACACATGCCATAAAAAAGGCATAACAGTCCCGCCCCCCTCAGTCCCCTCTCCATGCGATCCAAGCCAGCAGCTACACCAGAATGTCATTTGAAGCCGGGTGACCAGCCGGTGTGTGTGCAGGCAGCAGCTGCTGATCAAGAATACTTCAGGCTTTGCTTCATTCAAAGGACATGTAATGAAATCCTGAATAATACAACTTGGGAATGAAGCTTTATTTATATCATAAGGAACAATGTTGCAGCCATATGGACTTCTGGCTTCACTCAGTGGGATGAAATAAATATTAAACTCCCTGTGGAACGTCTATAACTGGAAACTAAACTTCACCGTGTGACTCTCAGGAAACTTGAAATCCACTGGAAATGCAGGGAAAGGAAAAGGAGTTGATTTCACTTACTGGTTAATTACACGTGAGTTAAACTAGACAGTTTATATATGTCACTTAAACAGTCAATGCACTCTCTGTAATTGACCAAGTTCTCTAACTGACTGCAGGACAAATGACTAACAACATATGTTGAGCTCTTTGCCATGGTGTGTGTCACACTTTAGGAGTCAGTTTCTTCTCTCCTGCTGGACTACCTCTTCCTATTACTCTTTGATGTCCTTATTTTACTACATGTCCAGCTGAAATGTGGTTTACATTCAAATCTCACAGAAAAACAATTTCTATACAGTCACACCTCCTGTTGTATTGCTTATTTAATACTGTTTGCAGGCCAGCATCATGAAATGATTTGCATACACACGACAAATGTACTGTTGCATGTAAAAACTACCATGTAAATACAGCCATTATAGACATATCGAGTTAGTTAAGCCAGTGAAAGGGTGATTTTGTGTCTAAATTGCCGATAGTTAATAATGAACAACATCCGAAATGGTTACTATCAATCAGTCATTAATGGTGTCGTTAATACTTTGCTTCTCTCAGTACGTTAACTAACACATCACTGACAGCTTTCAACCCACACGGTCTTCTCCCCTGGCAGGGTGCATGCTGTGTTTTGGCCAGTCTGCCTTTTTCCGCTTCAACCACCCAGAGGAGGCCCTACGGATGAAGAGCATGCTGCCTGGTGGACTAAGCACCACAAGAACTCATCCAACTGGTAAAGACCCAGCTTTGATGATTATATGGCTCTGAAAAACACACAATTTGTGTTCATACTCATGCAGTAATGATAACATATCTGGGACACAGAAATCAAAGTAAAAAAGAGTTTCTCAGATATGACACCAAGTTTGCAAGCTCTTGGTTTTGGTCTTGAAGTTTGACTGAAATATTGGTCACTCCTTGACTGGATGCAGAAATAGCTCGTTCAGAACTAATTATCTGTGGCCTACATTGTGATCTAGTTCATATAAATCTGTGGTTTTCACTCAAGGTGTGACCCCATTGTGACACAGGATTGTTGTAATCGTTCTTTTTACAGTTACATTCAAATGTTATATCATTCTGGCCCATTGCTTGCTGTGACTTGTGCTGTCGGTGATATTTAGAATCCATTATCCTCTGACCTTATTGGTTTGGCTGTCAGTGCCTGAACAGTACAGTAAGAGCCACCACACCCTGCCCAGTGTGCATGGCCCACTCTTTCCTGACCAGGCCCTGATTTCATCAGCTCTGAATGAGGTACACGGCTGCAGCTTTTATATTTAGCAGCTCCAGATCCCTGTAGGATTACAACACAACTGAAGAGCACAACATCCCTCATACAGGAGAACATGGGCCCCAAGACATTTATCACTATTTAAAGTGAGCCACAGAGACTCTGTCTGTGAACGTGTGTGCAACAACATATTCAGGCATATGTATTTTCCCTTTTATGGGCTACCCTCCTTTGTCCTACAGCAGCAGGACAAAGATGACACAGGACAGATATTTCCCACTGTGTTTGTTTATGTGTGTTTTTGCAACTGTCTTGTCAAAGTGTCCTCCTCCTTTAGTCAACAGGAATGCTCATGAACAAGTGTCTCTGTTGCCCTTTACAGACTCCCACAGTGTCCTGAACGGGAACCATCAGTCTTTTTCAAGCAACGGCGACTCCAAAATCAACAACATAGCAAAGACCTTCCAAGACTCCTTGGTGCTGAAGAGCTCTTCATCGTCAGGATCAGCTAAACAGCCCATTCATCAGCCCTCTCCACCAAACATGCTCAATGGGAGAAATGGCTCCATGACAGAGGACTCCATTTATGAAAACAGCAGCAACTTTCTGGGCCAGAACCTTGGCAACAAAACCCCTCCAGTACCTGCCCGGTCTGCTCATACCAACCACACTCCTGTCCCCCATCCACGGACCTCGCTCTCTGTGGCGCCAAGCGGTACTAGTCGTGGTCAGAGGGCCCAGGAGAGTCCAAAACTTCTTAGGAACGCAAGAGCAGAGGCCACACCAAGCCCCGCACCGACTGGCAGGGTATCAGGAAAGGGCACAGAAAACTCTAGCCTAAGTCACAAACCATCCCCCGTCAAATTTTCCCAAACAGCTCCATCTAGCCCACGGGTAAGAGGTTCTTCCCTACAGAAGAGATCCCCCAGTCCTATGCGAGATCAGCACCTGTCTAATGTAGATGTGCCTCAAAGGGTCAGGACTCCAGAGCCAACTGGGTCCACCAGCCTGAGAGATCTTCCCCCTCTCAGCCCTTACATGTCCCACAGGGGGACTCCAGGATTGCAGGGCTCAGCTTCCTCCCTTGCCTCACAGGGCTTCACTGCTAAACCCGTCCCAGAGAGCCCCAAGGGCCCCCGCAAACTCATAGCTCCTTCAAAAGCAGAAGCCATGAGGGCAATGTATGCCCAGACTCCATCCTCACTCTCTGAGAAGGAGTCCGGAGGCAGGCAGCTAAGGTCTGGTCCGGGAAATGCCCTCATGTCAGGCCTGGCTTCTCTGTCTGGTTCGTCTCCTCTTGCTAGCCCTCGTAGCCAAAAAAAGACCCCTTGCATGACCATGACAGGGTCTTCCAGCAAGGAACAGAGTCTTATGAAACCATATACCCGGGAACGGAAAAACAGCATCTCTGAGATAAGTGACAATGAGGATGAGCTGCTGGAATACCACCGCTGGCAGAGAGAGGAGAGGTTGCGTGAGCAGGAAATGGAGAAACGGGTAAGTGACAGCACTTTAGATATGACTTCACAGTAGTTCAAATAGGTTCAAATGAATGCTGATGTGAACTTCACTCAGGAAGTCATTTAGAAAACATTTGCTGCTCTGGTTTGTCCTCTATGGCTGTTTGTTTATTCAATATCCTGTGTACGGGTGGAATTTGTATATACTTTAAATCTGCAATAATCCATTTTTGGCCATATATGAGAAAAACATCAAAACAAGCTGACAGGTGCAAAGCCACAGCTGTATCCGGGGATACAAAACATCTTTTAAAACATTTTTATTAAACATCAAAAGCTCACTAAATGATTTGAACATCTTGTTTGTTCAATCCATAAAAAGTTTTTTCTTCATGCTAAGCTAAGCTAAGCTAATCGTCTCCTCTTGCATCATATTTTAAGTTTAAATCTTTTAATACAGATTAAGCAAGCAAGAAACAATATTAAATTGGTGAGCTTTACAGATGCTGGTAGGCATCCTGGCTGTTGCTGGTGGTATCAAGTTATCTGCAAGAAAACAAAGTATTTTCCAAAATGTAGAACTATTCCTTCAGTATGGAAACATGTTGATTATTCCATATTGAAGAGTTTCTTTAAGTTAAAGTTATTGATGTAGTTAGCTGATTGCTGGTCAGGAACACAATGTGAAAAAGTATTTTTGGTTTCATCACACTGCATTAAAAACAGCACAGGACAATTGATGAGGACAAACTCTACAGGGTGAACAAAAAAAGAAAGATGGACGTGAATACAGTTACGTGGAGAAGGCGCTGAGACTGCTGGCAGACACCGTGTCTGCATTCAGATATCTTGTCTAAATCTCCTGGCATACAGCCACAAGCTCATCTGCCCAGAGTATTACTGGCATCGTCAGCCCATGTGGCCCAAGAAACTTGGGGTGAACATTCTTCCACAAGTCTTAAGGTCCAGAGCGGCGAAGGGTGTGGCTGGTTATTGCCCAACACTATATTTATCAAAAGGACGAGTAGCTTTTACTTTCAAAGCGGCCCTTGCTTTACTGAAGGCTCTTTCTTATTCATATCCACACTAGATCACAGGCTGCATACTTGTTATCCATCCTCAGTCCACACCCACCAGCCCCCCACCATTCTTCAGCCCCCACCCCAGCTTGCCTCTGACAGCTGAGGGGACCATCAGAGGAGGAGGGGGGTAATTCCAGGCCCTCCATGTGCACAAACTATTTCAGGACCCAAAAGGTTTCTGGTAACAAATAAGATAGTTACTGGCAACCTGCGTATGAGTTGGACAGATAGTAGTTTGACGGCTTTGATACAGTATGTGCATGTTTGTGTCGTAGTCACTCTACCCTTGTGTTGAGTCATCCAGTCTGTGTGAACAATGCAAGCCATTGCCTCTGCAAATACATAAACAGATAGATAACAGATATTTCTAGGCCCATGGATGTGTTTACTAATGTTTTTGGATGTGATCCGTATTTGTAATTTCCCCCCTAAGCCTGGTTATTGTAGTCCACACAAACAAACAGTTATCTAGCTTTAAGCAGACAATTAGAGATTTGTTCTGTATTGGCTGACGTTTACAGTGATTTCTGGCTATGTTGTGCTATATAAAACATGTGCATACACATAGGACATAGGAATGAACGTAACCTAATCACTGTGAGAAAAATTTACATAAATGACACATTAAACAGTCAGTGACCACATTAACATCCCAGGGAACAAATCATGTAGACGTGGATGGACTTTCAAGACTAGATAATAATACACAGCCCCTGTTAAAGGAATAACTCTCTGCAAGATTTCCCATGTCCAATGTCAAACTATTACTTTAAGAGGGGCCCTGCATTATTAGTCTTGAAGCTCCATTATATCAAGGTCTAAGCTTCCTGTCATTTCTGCTGCAGTTGAGTTTAAATGGGGATTTTATTCCCACACAAAACAATTACTGACAAACCAGCTGACATGTGGTGAACTTTGTTTTGGGCCCTGAGCAATTTTTTAATATTCTTTTTAATTATGTATATGGGGTGGGGGAGTATACAGTAGTTATGATAAAGTGATTTGATACTTCTTTTTTTTAAGGGATTACAATTTAACGGTGTGGTATAGACCTAGAGAGAGACAAAGAGAGGATTTCCTGTCAGTGAAATGAATGCCCTACATTTGGCACACTGCTCTCTTGGCACAGTTGGCACAGCTACTGTATGCAGGACTTTTTTTTTTTTAAATCTCACTTTCCTGAACCCAACCTACATACATGGATATTTCAGCACTTTATAATCACATGCTGCACTTTATCTCTCAGATAAAGAAAAGGGCATAGCTAGAGAGGAGGAGAGGTAATAGAAAAGTTAATTTTAGCATCACTTCCACTTAGAAAAGGCCAAACTGCTGGTTTGCAACAGAGTCCAAATATTCATATTCTTGAGGGGGTTCTGGGTAATTCAGAGGATTTCTATGGTGGAGGAGATGATGCAGATGTCCTGCATTTTCAAGCAAAGGTTCAAAATTTTAGGAAATATACTTGTTTACTGTCTTGCAGAAAGTTATGTAACGAGGTTGCTGGCACAAAATCCACATGATACCATAACATAATATAACATGTTAATTAGTGAGCGTTAGAAGTGCTGGTAGGTAGTTACCTTTGAACAGAGCCAGGCTATCTGTTTCCCCCTGTTTCCAGTCTTTGTGCTAAGCCAAGCTAAGTGGCTAGAGTATAAGAGTGGTATGGACCTTCTCAGTCTTGGCTTGAAAGCGAATATGCATATTACATAAATAATGTTGTACCATTGCTTTAAATGTTAACTGTTAAAAACAAAACATCTATCTTTTTTACTTAACTCTGAACTCTGAACTCACGTACATATGGCTTCCTGTAGTAATAGTATTCCTGATTTTCATCAAGGAATGAACCAGGCAAACAGCATAAACAACTGCCTGAAGCATAAATCTTGCAGTTAATGTCAATGCTCATGACAGAGTTGGTGTAGTTATTTTAACAACCTGAATAACTGAAATACCAGACAAAAGTGGGCTCTTGGTTGTGGGAACAATAAAAAAAAAAAAAACAATACGGCAGCAAGAAGCACATCAAGCATAATTGTTCCTAGTCTTGCCAGATTCCTAATTATTGTTACACTTTCTGCACTGTTATTTTGGTAGATTAAAGCATCCCATTGTTAGGAGTGATGAGAGACAACACACTGGCCACAAGCTAGAACCATGTGCTATATCCAACAAATACATGATACAATGAAAAAAGCTCTGAAAGTAAAAACCAAGCGATAACTGGTGTAGTTCAATGTGAGATACTATCAGCCAGCAACCAGAACTCTGCCGCTGTTTTACATTTATTCTTCTTACAGTTACCACAGTCTGCCAGATTCTGTTTTTATAAACAGCTCTAGCTCTGCCTCTGACAGCTTTTACTATGAACTCCTCCTGAGAGACAAACTACATCAGCTTCGGCCCTCCTGCTCTCAGGTTACAGTTGTCCCGTGCCAGTGGCGGAGGGACAGCTGCCCTAATGGGACAATGTCACGCAAGGACACTGCAATATGATCTACAATGTAGGCCGACGTGCTAATGTCTCACGTGTCTTCTATAGGAGCGTCAGAGGCTGGAGACCATCCTCAATCTGTGTGCAGAGTATAATTATGAGGACAGTGCTGTGGAGCTGGCTGAGGTGGTGAGGAGCGGGCTGTTGGGGGGCGCTAGAGGAACCTGCTCAGACACAGGAGGCGGGATGTCCCTTTACGGAGAAGACAGACCCCAGAGGTTGAGGGAGAACGATGAGGAAACCCAGAGAGAGGAGTCCAGCAGCACAGAGAGCACACATCAAGAGGTAATAAATGCATTCGTTGCGGACATGCAAGCGTGGAGGAAAAGAAATGTTGGATTATGTTATTTGTGTTTTCCTTTGATTAGGAATTATATAACATCTTTCTTTTTAAATATATAAATCTGTCCACAGTGTGAAGAGCTGTTAACCAGTCAGGAGCAGGTCTACCTGGAGGAGGAAAGGAACAGGATCTTGGCCAGGGTTGATGACTTGAAGCACAGAGTCACTGAACTGGAGCAGCAGCTACAAGAGACCAAACAGGAGGTCAGCACGCACACACACACACACACACACACACACACACACACAGCAGACATGATGAAATATGGCATCTTAGCTTGTATGCTCTTAAATCAACTCACCCTTATAGTGAGAGGAGCAGAAGCTGTTTCATCTTTAATTTATTCAAGTTGACAGCACTTGCAGACTCTGACTCCACATTTGTCTCTAGGTGGAGATGGAGCAGGCCCTGCTGCAGGCAGAGAGGCAGGCAGAGCAGGAGCAGGTGGAGGCTGAAAATGAAATCATCTCTCAGCTGCAGCTCAAACTCAGCCAACTGGACAAGGCCACCCAGAAAGAGAAAGACAAGGTGGGACACCCAGGACAAAACAATGTGATGCAGTAAATACTTCACGTTTGCTCAAAGTCACTGCACGTGAATGTTGGACACGTTCCTGTATTTGAATATATAAAAACTCACTCCTTACTGAATGTGCACAAGATGTACAGTATCTATAGACTCTTTTTTCAGATCTTAACTGGCTTGCACTGCCTATTTATTAGCTGTCTGTCCTAAAACACAAAGCACCAACTGACTTCTCTCTAAAGTGTCCGACAGCTCTTGCGTTTAAAAAGACAAAAAAAAGAAGCTTTTAGCTGGATGTGACCAACACTAAAATGTTGATATAACATTTAATTTTACAGCCCCTAACACTATTAACCTTAACCTCTGCTTCAACCCTCTAATACTTTAACTGCATATGCCTGCTAGCTTTAAAGCTTGGCTGCATGGATTTGAGTTGTCTGTGATTTCTTTTTTGTTTCTCCCTGGGGTGGTGTGTGTGTGTGTGTGTGTGTGCGCGTGTGTGAATTGCGGACACAATTGTGCGTATGTGTGTGTGTTTCTATGTGTTTTTAGGGGAGGGCTAATGTGTCGGCTGAGCGGAAGGTCCTGGAAAAGCAGAGGAATGAGTACAATGAGCTGAAGAGGCAGTTTGATAAGTGCCCCTTGTCTCTAAGGGAACAGTTACAGGAGCAGCTCAGCAGGGTCAGTGTTCTCACGCAGCCCACTGGCTGGCAACAGTGAGTTATAATATACAAAATATCATAGTACTGTATGTTCTGCAAAGAAACAGGCATAACACTGACTCTGTTTTGAAGCACTCTGAGCTACTCGGAAATCTGCAGACTGTGCATTTCCTCTTTTTCTGCTGTCGCCCTTCATTAACACTTAAGGTTTATTATGTCAGCGCCATTTGTAATTGTGACTAAACAGTATAATCAACGCTTCCTTCTGCTGCCCAGCGGCAGTTTAGACTGCTGCTGCTTAATGTCTGCTGTCCCCTTATTCTGGATGCTTGAAATGTCTAATGCAATTAGTAATAATTAATCATGTCATTAACAGCTTTGCTCTAAAAGTCTGCATGCCTTCTATCAACAAGGATTCAAATCATACACGCACACCCAGTGTTTATATGCAGAGCATCAGATTTGATGGTATGACACTTTGGCTTCTTCATCATAGACATTAAAGGATAAGCTGGTGTTTTTGTCTATTTTTCTTACTGTAAACAAATTTCATTAAAACACCAAAACCAACAATGTGTCCATCCTTCAGTACTTTCTGTGGAACAATCAGTTGCTTCTGAAGATGTAATTCTTTAGAACATTCTAAAACAACTGAACACTGTAGTTTTGTAGCAAATGTTGTCAATTTGTTGGGGACTATTTTCAGCTGTGGATTAATACATGCTAGTGAGTATTTACTCACCCTGGAGGGAAAAAAATACGTACAGTGCTACTTAACATTGTTGGTTTTGATCTTTTTGTGGAATTCTGTTAACAATAAGAAAAATATTGAATATTGCCAGCCTTATCCTATAATATCTCCTGTATATGTATGTATTATATAATAATAACTGTGCATGTATATCTGCATGTGAACAGAAAGCTGAAGCTCTGGAAGTTGGGACCAAACAGTTTGAGGAGCTGGAGTTCTGCCAACTGGAGGAGGAGAGCAGTCTGGAGGAGAAGAAGGACACTCAGAGCTCGCAACTCCTCCAAGAGCGAGCCGAGTATCACTGCAGCGTGGCCCAGAGGAAGGTGGGGACATGTATATTGACTATTAATTCTGTCAGCACATAATGTGGAATACATTTACATTTATATTTACTTTGTATATAGGCTCTTATTATATTTCTGTTCTATTTTTTACTTACATGTATATACCTATACATACATTTTGATTCTTCTATATTGTGTTAGATATTGTAATATAAGTGTTATTTCTATTCTTTAACATTGTGTGAGTAGAACAACTGTAACAAACAAATTTCTGATTCTGATTCCGATTCTGAGAAAACATGCATTTGTGTGTAAAGTCAGTGTGACATAAAGAAACTGGACATGTTGATTCACAGGACAGGATGGGTGCTCTGGAGGCTCAGGTGAAGCAGCTGGGGTTACAGGCAGCTCAAGACTGTGAGAGGATGGTGAAAGACAGGACAGTGACTCTGCAGCTGTTACACAAGGTTAGCATTTATGCACAGTATATTTAACTGTCTATACAGGAGGCATGTAATTAATTCATAATAGTAATGTATGACATGGCGGTAGCTATGAAAAGCATGTCCATGCTGGTTCTGCCTTTTAGGAGCAGGACAGGTTGTGTGCCCTGGAGAAGAGATACCACACCTTGACAGGAGGGAGAAACTTCCCAAAGCCCAACAGCAGCATGAAAGAGGTGAGCAGGAAGACGTGAGACATGATATCACACCCATGTGGTCACTAAGCTGAAGGAGAAGTACTGCACAAACAAACCTTTAATTTTAGATGAACTTTTTGAACAGGAATTTCTTCACATCAGCGAACCTGACCTTGTTTATGTGGACGGCCCTCCTCATAGCCCCTGTCCCTCCTCCGCCTCCTTCTCCTCCTCTCAAATCCCCTCCCCTGAAAACTTTCCTGTTAGGCTACAAGAGGTAAATCTCAACAAAAACCTCTTTGTAACAAAACCTGACAAATCGTAAATGCCTGTGCTGCAGTTAATACAATAAAAGAGGGGCATGGTGGTGTGTTAGCAAATACTGACAACCAACAACAAGCTTGCAGTGTGTATGCTGGTAGTTTCTAAATTATGTAATAACCCCACATTATGTAGTAACTTGACAAGTAATACATTTTCACATCATTTCACCCGCATTTTGTAACAGCCTGAACCCAATATGTCATAAATATTCCTACATTTTTATATAAATTATTTATATAAAATTATTATTATATTACAAAATGTGGGCACTTTTTTATGAACTGCATTTTGATGTAGATGAAGCTTTTTACTGGTCTTTTGGGGAACTCTGTCAGAAGACCATTGCAGTTGTCGAACCTGCTAGATATAAAAGAGTGAATGAGTTTTTCCAGCAGTGTATTATAGTCTGTTTAGGGCATGCACATTCTCCAAACTGTATGGTTATACAATGTAGAATTGAGGGATTTGAGGAGAATTGTTCATAAGCTAGATGCCATCCATACTGATTCTATTCAAAGGTAGAATTGTGTTTGCTTTCTGCATCTTTGCCTGACTTGTCTAAGTGTTGACTGCTGCCGTCTCCAGCCTCCTTATCCCTGTGTTTTGGCTGTTGATGCAGGAATACCTCAGGCTCTCTGATGTCTATAAGATGTATGGAAATGCTTCAATGCAACCTCACTCTTCTTCCCCTGCTGCTCTCCACTGCCTCTCCCTCGCTGTAGCTCCAGCTCTGCCATGTGAGGTAGACACCCTGCCTGCTCTCTGCCTTATTCAATGATATGTTCTCTTCAGCCCTCGTAATGCTCTTTTCCACTCTCTTTTCTCTCCCTGTTCTGTAAATGTATGTGTGTGTCTTGTGTCTCTGTGTGTCTGTATTGGCTGTGTGAAGGAGTACATCACAGTCAGTCAGTTAAGCCAGATCTTTGGGATGCAGAGAGTTGATCCCTCCTCTTCCTCCACTATTCCATCATTCCAACTTGCCTCCTCTGAATCCACCTTCTCATACCACTCAGCTGCATGTGGTCCATCCTCCTTTCTCTCTACACAGGTTTGTTATTCTTTCCTAACTGGTGGGGTCCCATGTTGGTCACTGAAAACACCATTCAGTTTTTCCAACATTGCAGCCAACCACTGAACAATTTCGAAAGCAGCTATTGCTACAGGAATGCTCATCTTTCCTATATCTGCTTGATGCTTCTGTCACTGGCTGGATGCTTTTCATCACCCCAGAGCCAGCCTGAGCTGAGCCGGAATGCAATGTGTCCTATTAACCTCGAACGCTGGTACCAGGACATCATGGCAGCTGGACAGCCTCAGTCATGTCCTCCACCACTGCCTGCAAAGTCTTTTTCCACACGCAGACAGGGGCAGGTAAATTCTCCACTCTCTCTCGCTCACTGCTTTATATGGTCTTCTGGTAGTTAGTTTTTAGTGTGTTTAATTCAGCATCTTGCTAAGAGGCGCTAATAGAAGGCCAGATGCACTGCCAACACATTGTCTGTCTTGCACGTCTGAATGTAGGTGTTCTTCTCACTAGCCACTCAACTATTCTTATGAGTAGGAGGCCCTCTAGTGGACAAAACAAGATAGGGTCTGTGAATCATTCTTGTTTCTAAAAATGTATGCTGTGGTACAATCCACTGAGCCTATAAGCCTTAATAGGGAACTTGCTATGAGTTGTTAATTAGAGATGTTGATAGTCTAATCCTCAGTTGGGTGCTTGATCCTTCAGGCATTAAGTAAAGCGTGTTATAACTTCCTGTAAAAAACACTCTGAGCTGGAAAAGGAACAGCCAACAGTGCTACATGTGCAGACTGATGCAACGTTAAGGCCATTCTGTTGGCAGTACAAATATGCATCATATGTATGTATACATGTGGCACACTAATGTAAGTCATAGTGTTCTCTGAGAAGTAAATACTGTAAGGGGTCACAATTCAACAAATATTATTATTTTTATATTTAAAAAATAGCTTGAAAGACAGCCATCATCCAGTCAGTTTGTTTAGATGAGTTAGTTTTCAGCATCCAGACCTGTGCTCTGGATGGAGAGCTCAGATATTTTACTCAAGTAAAATAAAGCAATATCACAGTGTAGCAATACTCAATTACTTTGTGAATTCCCCCTGAGGGATCCATTAAGTCACATCTAATCTTAATTTATAATAATAAATCAGAATGAATTTGAGGATTATATTTACATTATTATTGTCCATCTGCAAAGTAACTAAAGTTAGTCAATACATAAAAATAAATTACACTTAGGAGCAGTGCTTAAGATCAAAAACCACAAACTAAAATCAAATATAAAATTTTCATCCATTTCAGTCTCTTGAAAGAATCATCTTATAGATTAAGAAAATAATGTAGGTGAGGACCTTTGAAGAAGAAAAACTAAATCCAAGTCCTCTTCAAATGTGGAAAAACAGATCTGTCTTTCTCCTCTTAGCTACTGAAGTCCAAATCAGATGGTGAGGTTGGACAGACAGCATCGTGCAGCACTGCAACCCTGCCACACTCCAGTGGTGTTACTCATGAGAAAAATCCATCCACCAAGGTGAGCAAATCAGTTTAACACATTTGATATGTAAAAAAAGAAACCCTCCTAAGTAGTTAAATGTGGAATGCTTCCTATGTGTTTTTTCAGGGGTTACAGTTAGTGCTGAGAGAGATGTCAAATCCATTAGACATGGACGCCAGGAGGCAGCTGGCTCTGCAGAGCAAAGGTACTTATCTGTTTTAACACACAGGAAGGTTTCATAACTCTCTTAAGACAGATCAAACTCTACAGAGGAGAGCTGTGGTCATTTATTCCTGAACAAGGAGGAAAAACCTTAAAACCTCTTGCTCTTTAAACTCTACTTCGTTTAACAAGCCCTGGATCGGATTATAATCAACTAGCAATGACTTGGCACCATCAGTAGAGGGCATTGTAAGTCTTTGACAGCTGTCTCTGCTCTGTCTCTGCCTGCACAGATCTGTCTCCCACAGTCCATCACTCCATCCTGCATCATCAGCCGCCACCGAGCGGCAGCCAAGCGTACGACACCCTGAGCCTGGAGAGCTCAGACAGCATGGAGACCAGTGTCTCCACCGGCAACTCTGCCTGTACCCCAGAAAGGTGAGAGACTGGGAAATGAGCAATTGGCTCTGTTTCCATGGGAACACTCAAGTCTGCCCTGTCTCCCAGGAGAAGGGTCACTGCGCTTTGTTCCCGTGACAACATGTTTTGTTACATGTCTGCTCCCGGGACTGCTGGTACACTGTCTGTTGCCATGCCAACCTCTTCAAGTTTTCAGCTTTTCATGAAGTTAGGAGTTCAAAGACTCAGTTTACTGCTGTTCGTGAAGAAACCTTTGTCTTCATCTCCTACTGCTCTCGGTGTTTGGTTTCCAGGCATGTCTGTTTACTTTTTTCATCCCAAAGCCTCGTCGTAGCCGTGTCATCAGACTCTCCTTCCCCTCTGTGTGTTGTAGTGCCTGTGGGTTAGAGGCCCAGAGGATAGAAGAGATGGAGAAGATGTTGAAGGAGGCGCAGCAGGAGAAAGCCAGGCTGATGGAGAACAGAGTGAGTTCCCAAACTTTAGTGCTGCAGTGATTTAACATGACATCATGAGTTATCACATAACTTACTACACTTCATCTCCTTGGTTTAAGGTTTAAACTAGTGCTACAAGGATTAATCAATGAATCAATTAGTCGATCGACTAATTTAATAACTGAATTTCTCCTAAGGGGGATAANNTGCACTACTTTGCCCTATTGCTGCGGTGTCAACCTGAATTTCTCCTAAGGCAGATAAATAAAGGAATATCCTATCTTATCTTATCTTATTCCGTCATAACATTTGATATTTGAGGCTTTTCCAATGTGCTGCTTTTCTGTGTCACATATGATAGTAAACCGAACAACTCTGGGTTTTGGATTGTTGTCATATGAAGCAAGATATTTATATAATGGAGATTTTTTTACAGACAATTCTTTCATTAATTAAGAAAATAATTCAATCGATACTGAATCACAAAAATAATCATAAGTTGCAGCCCTGGTCTCCACTGGTAAACCTAAAGTTGTTTTCTGGCAAATATTAAACACAGGTCATTGCAGCCAAGGAAGCCCATACAAATATCTTGATTTCTTAATTGTTACACATTTTGTTGCTGGAGTTAGGTCTGAGCATTATGGATAAAACATCAATATATCACATATGAACTAATCTAATTGATGCACTGCAATAACACCCTAATAATAACACTGCAGCAAACTTTTATATGTTCCACCGTTACGCATTTCATCAGAAAAGAAACTCTTCATACATGTAATAAAAAATAATCTCACAATTGTATTATATTTTAATTGCAATTTGTATGAAATCATTCATTTGGACTACAGATTTTTGGAAACAATGTCCATACCACTTCCCCTGAAAGTTGATGAACAATAACTTTGAATTATTACCATAGTCCCATGTTTCTCCTGTTTAATAGATAAAAAAAACACAGTATATCATTGTCAAAATGGTGAAATGAAGCCGTAAGTAGTTTGTTTTTATTTTTTCTACATGTTGAAACAAAGTAGACCTTTATGTAAGTATCTGAAAGCTGCAAAGGATAATTTTACATCAGCAAAGCTTATCCTTCTATATACAGACTTAAGGGATATATTTTACAAAACCCTGGATTGGGACTTGAATTCTCCTGTGCCTCTTCTGACAGTCGTTCACTTTGTATTGCAATATTTGCCTACCATTTACATATTGTCCCTGTCCCCCCCCTGTTATTTTCTCCTCTCTTCTCTCCATCTGTTCCTCTGTCTCCTCTCCCGACGCTCCCAGGAGAGGGAGGTGCAGGCTCGGCGGCAGATGCTGGAGGAGGAGCGGAGGAGGCGAGAGGAGGCCGAAAGGAGGCTTCAGGATGAGACGGCCCACAGGCAGAGGCTGGTGGAGGAGGAGGTGAAGATGAGAGAGAAACACTTCTCCCAGGTCAGTGGAGCAGCGGGAGGAGACGGGCGGCGGGAAGAAAGGAGAGAGGAGGGGAAGGGAGGGAGGAGGGGACGGTAGACTTTTGGGGAGAGGATGAGAGGCGAGACACTAAAGGGAGGCTGGGTATATGGGAAGATCAAAGATTCAGTCAGGGAAGGGAGAGAAAGGGTAGACAATTGAAGGGAGGATGGAGAGAGAGAGTGAGAAAAATAGGGGGTGCACGAAAAATATAATGTACACATAATTAAAGCTTTAATCTTGACTGAGTGTATTTAATTACCGGTTGTCTGTGGTATTAGTGCTGCGAGTAAACAAATGTCCTCAAATCACTAAATACACCCAGCTCCGCTTATTATCAGGGCTGTCTGGAGTCCAATTTACAGCTGCTATAATCAATATTTTTATAATAACAATGCCTCAAATGACGTTTGAGGCATTGTTACATGTGTAATGTGAAAGGAGTGTCATTATCATCTGACTCTGCAGTTCTCCCCAGCTCAAAAGAGCCTTTTATTTTCTTTGAGCTCATTGTTTTTGTTTTGAGGCCTCAACTTTACTGTTTTGGTTCGTTCTCACCGCCCTCATAGTGTCGTTTTCTGCTGTTTTCTGCTAAAACTCAGCTTAATATGTGAGTGTTAAGCCCACAAAAAAAATACATTTATTCCCTAAATATTTGTTTTGAGACTTGAAAGAAGAAGTCTCAGGTTTTTACTTCTTGAAGGACCAGTGAGCAGGATTTAGTGGCATCTAGTGGTGTAGTTGCAGATCGCAACTTCTTGGCTTCACCCTCCCCTTCCAAGCACAAAGGAAAAACTTCCTGGCCACGAAATGCGTGAAAATAGTAGTTAAAAATATTACATTCCATTTCTACCCCTTGAGTGTTACACACTGGGCCTTTAAAATACAGGAATATTAAAAAATAAACAAGGCAGTGTACAGCCTCACATAATTGTTTATTTAAAAGACTCTATGTAGATAATACAGCTGTGAAAGAAAGTGTTCACATACAATATCATTATAATGGTCTGCATTCAGAGACCTGAGACATTTGCATCTTGAGTTGTAATTTGCTCATGAACACTTGGGACTTGACTTAGACTCGCCCCAAACTACTTAAAGCAGCTCTACTAATTACCTCATCTTGGTTAGCAGCATTGAAGCAATATGAAACATTTTCCTCACAGGCCCGTCCAATGACACGCTATCTGCCAAACCGGAAGGAGGAGTTTGACCTGCGGGCCCACGTGGAGTCGTCCGGCCACAGCATAGATACCTGCCCCTACGTCATCCTCACAGAAAAGATGTGCAAAGGCCACCTGGTGAAGATGGGGGGCAAAATCAAATCGTGGAAGAAACGCTGGTTCGTTTTTGACCGTCTCAAGAGGAACTTTTCTTATTACGTGGGTGAGGATACAATGACATTTCATCTATGATATGAGGGGATATTTGTTTAATTTGAGCTTTTTTTAGGAAGTCTCATTGACAACAAATATTAAATTGTGATATCCTGAATATAAAAATAATATGACTTACAATGATGCAGTCAATAGCTACAATTACATTGTTTATAAAAAGTATTAATGACTTGTTTCCTCATTTAAAACCTTATAAGGCATCAATCGCTCACTCTGTATTTCAGCTGTCCTTGGGTGTGTTCAATATAGAAACATTTACAGGGACAAGTGAGGTGGAACACTACATATATGGCGTCACAGTTAATGAATTGTTTGTTTAGAGCTGCATGTTGAAAGACTGTCTATCAAAGTCTATTGCAAAACCTGCAAATTTGCAAATAGGGCTTAAAGAAAGTAACTTCCCTTCCTCCCCTCACGCCTTTGAGTCCTAAAACTTACAGCCTCTGTTAAATACCACTAAATGCTCTTTTCACCAATAGGACTTCACAGGGTGAAGGACTAATATGTTAGAACTAATAATAACTTTCTCTCTAATGGATCCTGTTGTGTTCTATCAAGTTCTGCTTGACTTGTCCAATTCATGTCTCGGGCATCGATCACAAAAAGGGCTTCAGGTGATTAAAACCAAACCAATTTGCTCACATAAAACTTCACTCATATTAGGCATTCCTAAACTCAGATCTTTATGTAGGAGAGTTCCTGTAGAGCGGGCCCGGACCTGATTTGTTCAGTTCACCCGACAGCAGTGCCGAGGCTCTTCTGAAGAATGTACACTTCGCTTTCTTTGCTGTGTTTTTCAATAAAACCCGACTTCTGTCCCAACCGGCATTTATTCATCTGGAACCAAACACTAATTAAAGCTGCACTAAGTGGAATTTTCCGCCTTGTTCTTGTGTGTTAAAGCTGAAGTTAGTTTGTAATTCACGTCTATCAGACTGTCCCCTGAATTTGAAACAAGAGCGGTTAGTTTTCTGAATAATTCACAAGCGTGTTTTTGGAGACATTATATTACAATCAAGTTCAAAATAGAATCCAGGGATATTTTCATTACTGTCGCCCCTGTTCTCTTTGCTCCTCTCTCTCTCCACTCACTTGCCTAGCCTTTTCACCCCCTTACTCCTGACGAAGATGATGGTGATGATGGTGATGAAATAAGATGCAATACTTTCTCTAGATGTGTTTTTCTTGGGGAGGAGGCTAGCTCCTGGCTTGTTCGTGACTAATAAAACGAAACTCACATTTCAAAAACATTTATCTCATTACTAAGCAGATTTGACTTATGGAAAAGGGAGAACAAGAGAAAGTGTCAGGCGTATTTCAAAAGATTGCCTTTAATTGTTGCTGGATGTTTGTTTCTTAGCCGGGCGCTCCAGTGTGCATGGAGAGAGACAAAAAGACCACTGTTTATTTGAAGAAGAGTGAAATTCAGAAACTCTTTAAACTGATTTTTTTTTTTAAGACAATTGATCTTAGATGTGAGAAAGACTCCTTCACATTTAACTGCCTTCAGTTAAGCCCCAAACTAAAGAATCCCATCAGTCCAATGACTGCATCCGATGAGCTTCATCCACAGGTTTCCCTGAAAAATGAAAAAAATATATTCTGTGAATAGAGAACAGCAATCCAAAGGACTGGACAGAAGGTCTGACCTGCTTTAAGGGAAATGTTGTACTGAAAGATCAAATCTGATATACAAAGGAGAGGCATTTCTTTTTAAGATTTACAAAAGATAGGGAACCTTGCCAGCAGGGAAAAGGCTAAAAAAACCACAGAGACAATCCAGAAAGTACAACTGAAGAAAACAAGTCAAATTAATAGGATGGTAAAGACTTCAGGCATAGCTTGAAATAGACTTGCACTTTTAATTAACTTTTACTCTGATACAGTGCTGCTCATACCTATTCATGGGTTATGTGTTGCTGGGAAAAAAGAGTTAACACCTTTCTCCTTGTTTTTGTGTCTGGTTTCTCTGTTTTACCCATGCAGGATCAGATGTTTTGTGCAAAATAACAAGATTAACAAAAATAATAATTATGAAATTTTCTCTTTAAAGTTTTCTAATTAAGCTACAAAAAACAGTCGTCATCCATTCAAATATATCTGCTGTTCACTACTGAATTGCTTTGACCCAGGGGCATTTTAAGGCTTATTGAGTTGTTTTCATTCACGTCATCGCTAATAAAAGAGGCAGGGGACAATTTGTCCAAAGGTAAAAATGTTTGACTTGAACAGTACATTTAATGAATGATGGTGAATCAGATATTTTCCTTAGAAGAGAGAAGTATGCCAGTAAAATAAATTTCCCACTGACTTCAGTTTCAGTTTCTTACCTTTGATAAGTTATCACTGTACAACTTTCACTTACTCTGCTCCTTAATCTGGATTTCTGCTGAGAATCACTGGTGTAGGATCCCATCCATATCATTACACCAAACTTTATTACTTGATTTGTTAGGCATGGGTTTGCATTTTCATTTGACAAAAAAATATTTTGCACCTGGTTTTTATTTCTTTTTCTGAAACATTTATTCCTAAATGGATTTTTGAGGGCATAAGGAAATGTGCAGCTTATTTTGTTTATTCTATTATTCTATGGTTGCCCCTGTTTTAGGATAAAATGGCTCAAATGTCATTGAAAATAGAAGGCCACATGTTGTGAGACAGTATACTGTAAAATTAAATATTATTTGTGACCATCTATGTACTTTGACGCTTAAGTTCTCTGCAGGTGTGATCCTGGGTCCAAGAATTACAAGAAATATTTGTTTTTAAAAAGTGTATTATTTTAACAAAAATGAAATGCTTCCCCACATCGCTGGCTGATTGTACTGTCTACTGCTCAGGCTGACAGAGGTCTTGCATCAGTACAAGACATAATGTTATGTATCTTAATATGTTTTTTTTTTCTTTTTCTCCTCGCAGACAAGCATGAGACCAAGCTGAAAGGGCTCATTTACTTTCAGGCGATTGAAGAGGTTTATTACGATCACCTGCGCAGTGCCACCAAGGTAATCAAATGCTTTTATTTTCATTATTTTCAATTAAGAACTTCAGCTGCTATATTAATCATTTAAATGATTGAATACATTTTTTAATCAATAAAAATAAAATCTGAAATCTTAATTCCAAAATGTTTCTTATTCAGTTTGCTCATAAAAAAAAAAACTAATTCTTTACTAAAAAAACACAATTTATAGGTCCAGATCTTGAACAGTTTCCCATGATAAACTTTAAAACATGTATAATTTTGTTAAAAATGCAGATATGCTCATTTTAGAATAAAGCTACATTTCTACACTGAAAACAAAGTCAGACGTTCTGCTGTGTGAGAGCATCAATTAAACGCTTTATGTTTTCATTTGGGAGCTATTTTTTAGAGGAATAGAAAGATCCATATTAGACTGGATGAAGTTGTTTTAATTTAAATTTTTCTTTTATTTTGACAAATGTCTCTGTGGAAAAAGATGCAACAGGTGCAGTCTTTGGTCTAAAAAGTCTCCCCCTCTCCCTGTGATCCTCCAGAGCCCCAACCCATCTTTGACCTTCTGTGTGAAGACCCACGACCGCCTCTACTACATGGTGGCCCCGTCTCCTGAGGCCATGAGGATCTGGATGGATGTCATAGTAACGGGTGCCGAGGGCTACACACAGTTCATGAGCTGAGGGACCACTGGGTGACAGATTTGGAGGATGACAGGGACTGAATGAGCACCCAGACACCTGCGAGCCAACCTGAGCTGCTACCTGCTGGAGCTAGAGCTGACATCTACGACACACAGCCTGATGGTGTGTGTAACGGATGGACGTTTGAAGAGATGAATAGTCTGGGGCTCTCACAAAAAGCCCGATGCCTGCGAGCAAATGAGGGCTTTAGTAATGACAGAGGTGCATTTGAAAGAATTTAAAGAAGAGTTTTATTTATCTTGCAGCCACTATGAGAAGGAAAATTGTTTAAGGAAGCTGCCAATGGATCCAAGAAGTGAGCTCTCAATTAGATCAATCACATTCTGTTACCAAAATGTTAATAATTATAATATCATTTTTTTAGGTTTCAGGAGGAACACTTAATTCATATAAGCTACAGCAAACTGTTCCCACGTGTGAAGCTGATCTATGCATGCAGTGTTATCTCTCTAACCAATGCCTTTTTCCCTCCTTTTTGATACATTTGTACTCTTTCCCTTGAGTTTAACTTTTCTCAGATGCAAAAATAATCTCTTCATATTTCACAACACTAAAAAGTAAATGTTTTTTAGTAGCAAATATTCTAAAATCTTTTAAAGAGTCATATGTTGCTTATTCAGTGAAACATTACTTGGTGCCAAATACTTTATGTAATGTTTTGCCAGATTTTTACAATACAAATGTTAATATCACTTTATATATTGTTCCAAGGGCTTTTCATTGAGGCAAATAACACAGCATTTATGTCTCTGTATTTTACATAAATATATCAGAAAAACCTTCTATTAGTCTTTAAACAAAATTCATAACTTATAGTATATGATATTGTAAAACTACCATGTACATGTAATAAATAAATATATATGACGCATCTGTTGGTTTGTTTGTCTGATAAACTAGTTTGTTGCTGACAAATTGGCTAAACTGAACACATTCAGTTACAAACCAGTACTTGCTTCCTCAATTAGTGTTTCCTGCAAACAAGTCGTTAATTACCAGCTCTCCTTAAACAATCTCATACGCCCTAATGAGCTGCTAGGATTCACATTTAAATCACAACACACAATAGGTGTTCCCATTAAGACATCTCTCTCTTTAAATAAGAACAGTCAGGTAGTTTAATTAGTTAACTGGCTTGTTAGCTCTCCACAGAAGTTGCTCCAGAAGTATTGAGATCTATTTCTGGCAGAGTATAATTAATTATATTGCTCGCCCCGCACTAGGTAGGCCACATGGAAATAAAAAAACATGAAGGGAAATTACATGCAACTTAACATGCATGATTCAACATCGAGAAATTTTAAATCATGTAAAGTAAAAAAAAAAAAGAAAAA